CCATTTCCATGCTTACTGGGTAACTTCTTCCAGCAAGAACACTGGTGTATAAACTATAGGCACCCATATGGGGAGAGAACTGGATTTTTGACAAAGGACAGAGAGACAGTGGAAAGACCAAAATGTGGTTCAGAATTAAGTGTTTCTAAAAGCCTGTTTCATGAGGTTTTATACATTACATTTTCCGGATCTAGTAAGTTTTTTATTGATTAATCACCTGAAGGGAAAGGATTTTATCCCAGGGCCAGCATTTTGAGTTCATGCTGGGGAATAGCAGTGGTAGATTGGTGTTTTAATGAATGGAATAAGGGCTAACGCATAAATTCAGAATACAAGCGTATGTTAAAAGTTATGTATTTACTACTTCTTCATCAAAAACAGTAGTACCTCTTTCAAAAGGAAAAAAATAAAAAACTACCAATCCAGATGTTCCAGGGAATTATTTACAATGCAACTCTTTAAAGGTCTCTTGTGTTTTAAGATCCAGTTCAGTAATCAACCAACTGGATTCTCCTTTTTCTTTCCAAATCATGTACTGCCATTAACATTTTATGTTGTTTCAAAGGTCACATATTCATGTTCTTCCCCAGTTCAAGGCAGTGTGCATTAATGTATGCCAAGGGTTATGTAACTACAATTTCTGGAAATGGTAAACAGCTGAGACTAACCCTAAAAATAAAATCCTCTGGGAATTTCTGTGCAAAAATCCATCTGCCCTCACTGCAGGTTCATCATTACACAAAAATCACTGTTTAGATCAAGCCAAGAGACAGAGAAGTCATGACTGTCTCCTCTCTGTATCCTTCCTATAAGCAGCTGTACACACGTCTCTCTCCACCTGAGGAGGGAAGGACACACACACACACACACACGCTTTATCCCAGGAGCTTTTCCTAATCCTCACTACAAAATCAAAAGAAAGTCTGGAGAAGAAAAGTTTGTCAAAATGTGGTAGAAGAGCCATAAGGTCTTATTACATTCACTTATTTATAGCTAGTTCCCACTCCTTTAATGACCACAAAATCATCTTTAGGCCTATTCTCTTCTTTTTACCACAGGTTGAACAAATTTAGATATTCTTTTTTAAGATTTCATTTATTTGAGAGGGAGAGCACAAGAGTGGGACAAGGAGCAGAGGAAGAAGCAGACTTCCCGCTGAGCAGGGAGCCTGTGACAGGGCTTGATCCCAGGACTCCAGGTTCATGACCTGAGCCAAAGGCAGATGCTTACCTGACTGAACCACCCAGGTGCCCCAGTTTTAGACAGTCTTTATTTTAGTTCCAAAGAAACAGGTAGTATTTACCTGGCCTCAGTGTTTGATGTATTTTCAAAATATGGGGACAACTGAACTAGGGGAGGAAAGAGCACGGAAAAACCTTAAAAGTGATAAAAATTCACTCAGTCCTTCTGGACTAAAGTTCAATTCTGAACACTATTCACTGTATTGTTGACTAAGTGCCTGAAGTCTATTACTGGCTAATCTTTTCTACTGTAGCTTTTATATTTTCCCCTAACAGGAAATTACATGCAGATGAACATGTTAATTAAATTTAATATTAGAAACAAAGATGAATTTTAACTAAACCACATATAGGATTACAGAAATGTCACTTATCAGTGCCAAAGGGCATTTCTGCAAAAACTAGATTAATGCTGAGACTTCTTGTCCTTCTCACTTAGGGGGCTTTCACACCCTCCCCCTTCTCAATCAAGGGAGTATCAGGGTTCACCCAAGTAACAGAAAACGTATAGCTTCCGACATCCAACCACTCTCACTTCTCCAGAAGAATTCATTTAAAATAGATCCTGAAATAGAATTCATTTTGGCTGGTTAAACCTTGCTCTTCCCAGTCACAGATACACTTAAACAATGTACAAATAGCTTATAACTAAAACCCCACGACCAACTCTAAATACACATTTCACTTTGATACGATTTCTTTGCTTTGCTTGATAATTCACCCATGTGGAGCAGCATGAGCTAATAATCATTAATAAAAACTTCCAATTGCACTTTTTGACTGGTACGGACTACAAGTTTGTTTTTTTTTTTGTTTTTTTTTTTTTACAATGTTCAAATTCTTCTAGGTGGGATTTCTGTGTTTAAGGAACATTAACAGGTCAGTAAGTTTAGCCCAAAGCTCTGGAATAAGAATTCATTCAAGGCTTCTCTAATCTACTTGTAAGAAGCAAGGAAGCAAATTTTAAATCATTGAGTATTGACTTTTTATTATTAGTCACTGTTCATAATTTGTTTCAACCAAAAGACAATACACACAGCAGAATTCTAATGCATCCCATGTAAATGTTTACATCCACTTTATTCCTCACTCGCCTCTAAGACTTATCATTTAATTTTAAATTTCTTTTTACATCTCAAAAATATGTCTGCAATAATTAGAATTAGCCATCCCACTTAGAAACAGCCTTTTAATATTTTTACAGTAAAGAAAATGTGATGGGGCTTAATGAAAATGTAACTTACAACAATTATGAGAGAAAAGGGACTTTACAGGGACACAGTGGGAGTTCACAAAGGAAAGAATCCAGAAGCTCTTTCCCATGAGCGAGCCCCCCCAAACTGAAAACGAAAACAAAACACACAAAGCGCAACAGCAGGTTCCAAAAACAAAAACAAAAAAGAACTTGGATGCTCCATCCTGAAGCCAGAATCAGCCTCACAGAAGTTTACGAAGCAACTGTACAAGCTGCTTCAGCACGTTCTTCTGTTTAAGTGTCCTGGGTCCTGGATCCCCGCAGATGGAGCCCACTCACTACTATTGCTTGAAAAAGAGTGATTCACTTTCACTTCCACTTCCACAAGCAGCCCCACCCTCCTGAGCCAAAGCTGGTCAATGTGTTTTAAACTTCAGGACTTTCCGCTGTTCAGTGACCCTCCCCACTCCCAAACACATGAGTATACAGTCGTGGACCACCTCTCCACCAACCACGAATTCATGAATATCCACTTTTTGCTCTCTAGCTCTCACTTGGTTTAGGACAATGTGGATAAAATACATTCACTAGAAAAAAAATAAGACACATTCAAACTCTTTCTTCCCCCTAGTTCTCATGGCCCAAGTATTTTCCAATGAGGAAAATAATAAAGTTGAACCTCAAAACAGTATTCCCCTAACTTCCAACCTCTTCTAGAAGAACATAAAAATGAAAAGCATGTTATACAGTAGATGGAAATGTTCAAACCGTTAGTGCTGAACAGTTTTTAAATGTCTACTTTCTTATATGAATGGGACAAATAAAGGGTATGAACCACATCTTTAACCTAGTTGAGAGAAAGAATCCCCACCGGAAAGTTACACTGGGGAATGTTTCTTTAAATGAGAAAGACCTTAAAATGAACAGATGATCACTACACACAGCATAAAACATTCTATGACTGTCCCAATCACCTCAAGGTAACAGTACCAGAGCATTATGGGAGAAGCTTCTCGGGTAGAGCACCCTTCTTACAGTTTTTTGAGATTACTTAGATGAGTTCTCCCTTAGGATTGCTTGGGTGGAGGGGGTGGGAGTGAGAGGATACACTACTCTGAAAGAGGGGGGAAAATGAGGTCAAAGTGCACGTGAAATTGTCCGAGTATGTGTAGGCTCACTGCTCATCACCCTGGGGTTATTAAGACAGCCATGGGAATCACTCTTTCCTCACAATGGCTCTGACATTGAATAGCCATCCAAATTTGCTCCCCCTTGCATGGTCATCCCAGGGAAAGAAATTGCTGAAATGTTAAGTATTTATAGAAAGTAAGAGATTTCTCCTGTTAGCAGCAAGGCCAAGTATGAGGAGAACTAATTCTGATCCTAGAAACTAAGGCACGCTGAAGCCTTCAAAGATCCCATCATTTGAAAGAGTCGTCACAACCATCAGGATCCTAGGCAGCTTTCTGGCCGCGAGTTCTTCAGTGTGGTGCTCAGCTTCAACTCTCCAAAATCACTTCAAATATTCTAGGCAGCACCCTCTGCGTTAAGGCCATGATTTTTATCCCGTCTAGACAAAGCAATGGAGAACCACATCACTCCACCTCAAAACTACAGTCACCCACGGAGACGCTTTGTTCCTAGAGCAGACCCTTTCCAGCTCCACTAGCTAGCACGGTCTCATAGCACAGACTTTGGCAGGTTTCTGAGATTCAATTCAATCCAACTGAAGAAACTTGAGCTGGTCAACTATTAACGTGAGAGAAAAATAAAGCCTCTAACCCAAAGAGGAATGTTAGATAAATTCTATTCGAGAAATCCACCAATATTATGTTAATCCTATCATGTTTCACAGCATTAAATATCCATCCAATGAAATCAGTCGGCAAAGAAACCTTGAAAGGCTACTCTTCATTGCACAGGCAGAGCAAGTTGTCTGAAACACTCTCTAATCCACACTTGCCTTTACTGAAAACTGTGCACCAAATAATATCCTGTTCTTGACTCAACCATTTATCCAGCAGAGTAAGTTTTAGCAAATCTTGCTCTTGTTTACAAACAAGACCAGAAAGTTTCCCCTTTGGAGCCTTTTAGTTCAACCCCGGTTTGTCAAATGTTAGGAATAATCTAGCATCTGATACAGAGCTAGATCTGACAAGACACTGAGGATTTTAAGTAAAGGCTTGGTGAAACGAGGGGCGCGGGGGAGGAAGAGATTTGTACCCAGATTTTAAGACCGAAGCCAAAGTAGTCCTTATACTGTACTCAATACAGTAATGACTGCGAACATTCTAAGAGCAAGGCGGGCCTGACTCTTCCTCTCTTCTTGAGTACGTCAGACATGGCACCTGTGCACCTGAACGTACACAGTACATTCAACATGTGCCACGGGAGTCACCTTACCTCATTCCAGCAACTCAGTGTTAAAGGTCTGAGAACACAAGGGTCCTTTCTAAAAAGCACTCGGCACTCTCCCTAGTGTAAAAAGCTCCAGACCTCAGGTCTTTGATGCTGATATTCATGAGACCAACTTCTCAGACTCAGGAAAGGATATGCCTACCCTGTGGTGTTCATAAGACTTCCTCCCACACAGGGGGCAAGGAAGCTACAAGGCTTCATTCCAACACCATAAAGTACAATATAGGAAAGATTTCTTTAACCGCGTGGTCTTTATTTCAGTGCCAGTGTTACAGATACAACACAAATGTTCCAGTTAGAAGAAGGAATTCAAACGGAATGCCAAGGTCCAAGCCAGGCTCAGGAAATAAAAAGGAAGGTTTGGAGTAATGGAGAAGATGACTCCAATATGCTCTAGGATGAGTCTGATACTCACTCTTCCTATGGGCAAAGGTGCTTTTGTTAAGGAGTCTGATCTTAAAAAGCGAACTCCTCTTTCCACCCATTTACCATAGTTCCACAGGCAAGTTTCAGGCTTAGGAGAAACTTCAAAATTTGTGGCGGGGATAGGGGCATTAATAACTATTAATATATCTTTTAGAAGTTGTCCACTTTGCACTTTCAGGGGAATCAATTTTGAAAATCAGGGAGAGTATTCATGACTACAGCTAAAGAATGGAGAGACAGGGGAGCTGGAAGAGCCTTGGGAGTTTCTGTTACAAATAGAGCACCATATCCTTCATGCCAAATCTCAACAAAAGCTCTTTTTTACTGCATCCGTCCAGTGTTTACAAATAACCTCTCCAGGTCTGCCCAGGTCTTGGTAACAAACATACATACACGTGTGTGTCTGTGTGTATACAGCAACGCACAGAAAAGGCTACCAGGAGCCTAATGCCTCTTTCAAACATTGGGGGAACCAGTAGAAAAAGGCAGGGCTCCCTAATGTCCACTGTTAACATTTTCATTCTGAGTGCCTGATGTAAAAAGCGCCTGAAGATGGTAACCCAGCTAGTGAGGAATGAATACCCCCACCTCGCCCAGTCCACAGAAAAACACAGTAGAAAGAAGGGGAACTCTTTGCTGCAGAGACAGAGTGAGTGTTTTCTTGCCATGGATTCCAGTCCTCTCCTCCAGACCAGCTGCTTATTTCCTCAGGGGCCCAGGGAATGTTGATTCTGGCTGTAAATGTGGGAGGGGTGGAGAAGTGCGGACAAAGGAGAAGAGGAGGAGGAAGAGTGCAAAACAGCCTCCAGAAGCAGCCGGCCTCAACACTGGAGGAGAGGAGATTCGTGTTTGACAATGCTTCAAGGTCAGCAGTAACTTCAGGAAAATCCTCCTCAACAGTTCTCTTCAGCTCCTCATGCCCATGGTACAGTTGGGGGGGACTTGCCAGCAATCACAACCTCCTTCCCAGAGTTCCTTTGATTGAGTGGGACAAGAATGAGAATGGTGCCGGGCCCTCACTGCCAGGACTGAGGGGGAAAGTTGTTCACCTCTGCTAGATCTTGCATTGCTGAGCCCTTGTGGTTGTATGTGAGCTTGATCCGCATTCGCAGCTGTTGCTGTAGAAGAACAGAGAATCGCAAATTATACACTGAAAGGAAATCTCTAGAATCTGTGTGGTCCATAGATAGTCTTTTAATCCAGAGAAAAGAAATTTTTTTAGAGGAAAGCTGTCTCTTAAAAATGACACACAGGCAAATAACCACTACCACCATCATTCCTGCCTAGTCCTCCAGCCAACATCGGGCAGTGGAGCAGAGAAAGTGCCCTTCCAGAACACATCATCAGCTTCCATCTTAGAACCGCATTAACAGGACAGAACCACTTGGTAGCGTTTTCAAAGTAACACTGGCTGAGCACTTCTCAAAAAGATTCAACCCTTGCATCCGACTTCCCAGAAAAATGAGGTAAACATATTCATCTTATGCTCTACATTCAGAGATACTGTTGCTTTGTGTATAAAAACAATAGTAAATGTGAACATAAACTTGTTTTGTTCCCAAGACATAAAAGGAAAAAAAGTTAACTATGGGAACAGAAGTCATTTTAAGAGAACTCAATTATACACCCTTTTTATTTTATGTGGCAGATTTCAAATATTAATGCACTAAGAAAATTTTTACTCTTTGTCAGATCATCAAAGGAATCTGGGCTATAGGCAGATACTCAGAATCCACTGAGTAACGGAGGAAAGGCAAAATGTTAGAAGAAATCATCGTACTGGGATTATGAGACACTGCTAGAAATCTTTCAAGGTGAAGAAATCCTCTGGGCCATTTACAGAAACTGTACAAAAACTAGCCAATTGATTAGTATTAAAAGTGGAGTCAATTTACTTCTTTGAGAAGATATAATGAAAATACTGCTTAATGTCAGTTTCTAAAGCTACTTTTCACTTGGCTGCTTCATTAAAAATACCTCCACTTATACTGGCATTCTTAATAATCACAGTAGTAAATATGGATAGACGGGGTTCTACAAATACTCTTACACCAGACTGCAACTTGTGTAAAAATTAAGGGGCACATGGGTGGTGCAGTCGGTTGGGCATCTGACTCGTGGCTTCTGTTTAGGTCGTGATCTCCAGATCGTGATATGGAGCCCAGAGTCAGGCTCTGTGTTCACATGGAGTCTGCTTGAAATTCTCTCCCCACCCCCCACTCATACGTTTGCTCTCTCTCTACAATAAATAAATAAATCTTAAAGTTAAAAAAAAAAAAAAGATTAAAATGTCTAAGCTTTCCCTCTTCTCTTGCAAAAAACTAGACTTTGAAGCCTCTAAATAAGTAAGTCCTTAAAACTGTATTTTAGGGACACCCAGGTGGCTCAGTTGGTTCAGTGTCTGACTCTTCACTTCAGCTCAGGTCATGATCTCAGGGTCGTGAGATCGAGCCCCTCGTCGAGCTCTGTGCTGGGCGTGGATCTTCATTAAGATTCTCTCTGCCCCTTCTGTCCCCTCTCCCTCTCAAAAAAGAGCTGCATTTTAATGCTGCCACTAAACCATTTCAAGTGTCTAAGCTACATTTATTATCTACAAAAGAATGAAGAGGTTAGACTAGACATTTTCACAGATTTCTTCCACAACTATGAGTCAGAAAAAAACCTAGAGAAACGAAGCGGAATTTTATTCCAAGGAAATACGCTTACACCTCACTCAGATACTGTCTTCAAACATGCTACTCACCTTCTGTGGGTTCAGAACTTTAATGACTTGTGTGATGGTCCCTGTATTAAATGCTGGGACAATGCTGCTGCTGGGAGACAGAAGCTGCAGCTGGAATGTCTGTGGGGAACAAAGGGCACTCTTCAGAAAAAAAGAACACATTCAATACCATGTCAGAGATGTTAACAAATAAAAAAGCCAGACACCTGGATAATTACTCAAGTAACAGATTCACCTACTACTACATTCTGTTTGTTTTCCAGATATCAGCAATTCACAGTATGTGGGCTGACTATAACCTTCACGTTATTTTAAAAACCCCACAGTTAGGTCTTTGATCATGAAAACTAGCAATGAGCCACTCTCCTCTTTAAGGCAAAAGGAGGGCGCCTGGGTGCCTCAGTGGGTTAAGCCGCTGCCTTCGGCTCAAGTCATGATCTCAGGGTCCTGGGATCGAGTCCCGCATCGGGCTCTCTGCTCAGCAGGGAGCCTGCTTCCCTCTCTCTCTCTCTCTCTCTCTGCCTGCCTCTCCGTCTACTTGTGATCTCTCTCTCTGTCAAATAAATAAATAAAATCTTAAAAAATAATAATAATAATAATAAATAAGGCAAAAGGAACTTTAGCCTACCACTTTTCAAAAGGTGACCAATTCTTGTTTTGGCAACCTCGCTTAATAGTAACTGATCAACTACGCAGGTGAAAAATGGGTGCATGTGGCTTAAAAAAAAAAAAAAAAAGCTATAAAGAAATGAAAAAGAAAAAATACTTTCTAGAAATAACAAACCAGCATACCAATCACCAACTACAGGCCTTTATGCTGTTGTTGATTTCCATGGTTGGGAAATGGAGACTTAAACATTTGTTTTCTCAAGTCTACATAATCCAGAATGTGTCAAGGGCTACATGACAGAGGTAAGGAAAAGCTGTAAAGAGCCAAGCTGTTAATATCTATGTGGAATACATCAAGATCTCCCCCACTGGGGTCACAGGTCTTAAAAGAACAATTTCGTGCAGAGCTAGCCTATACAGCAAAAGACCTGGAAAACCCAACTATCATAATTTGTAGTGTTGGTGGGTTTTATTTGTTTACATAGGAGAGAGATAAAAGTGTTATCAGCAAGACAGGGAACCCATAATTGTTAGCACAATATAGTATGTATGTAGCTCTTCTACATACTAGGATTTTACTTTATTTTTAATTTAAGTAGGCTCCATGCCCATCATGGAGCTCATTGTGGGGCTTGAACTCATGACCCTGAGATCAAGACCTGAGCTGAGATCAAGAGTCAGACACTTAACTGACTGAACCATCCAGGCACCCCATACTAAGATTTAAAAAATCTTTCCCAAAAGTGTGGCCTTCTAAAATAATGGAGAGTGAGGAGAGAAAAGAGAGAGGGAAAGAGAGGCAGAGGGAAGACGACAGAGGGAGAGAAGGGGGGTAGGGGAGAGAGAGGAAAAAAAAGGGAAAGGCGGAGAGAGACAGAAAGAGACAGGTAGGGAGCAGGGCTGGCAGAAGACAAGAGGAGGAAAGTCTATCCAGCCTTCTCTTAGGACCAAATTGTAAGAGTAAAGAGATTTAGTATCAACTCAAAGACTTACTATGTTGGGTCTCATTATAATTCTATTGTGAAGATAGATTATGTAAGCTGAAATATTATTATTTACATTTATTTCATCAAATAGAAGATGCCATTATTTTTCACACCATTATTTTATATACCACTGAGAAGAAATTAAAGGCCATCAACTAAACTATGATAAAGAATCAATTTTAAAATGCATCTCAATTTCAGAGATAATAAAAAGCAATGGTAGAATCTATGAAATATGATTATTTTGAAGTTCAAGATACATCATGACATGCAAATAGGTATTAAATAGTACAACATCACCAAAAATAAGGCCATGCTTTAGTGGTAGAGATGCTATGTTGCTAGAGCACAGCCTAGAATAACAAGTATAAAACCCAAGGTTACAGCAGTTAACATTTACTGAGCAATGAACATATGAAAAGTGCTTAAAACAGTACATAGCCCATAAAACTCATCTATCCCTCAAACAAACCCCAGGAAGTAGATAATCACTGCCACCATCCTTCCTTTGTAAATGAAGAGACTGAGGCACAGAGGTTAGGAAACTTGTTTAACATCATACAACTAGTACTGAAACTACCCCAACTCTACTGCTTATAAAAACATCTACATGACTCTGGCTGCTAAAAAATGCAAGTAAAGGAGGCTGTAAAGTCAGCAGTAACCACAAACAAAAGAAAAGTTTTCAATTTCCAGAAATGTGTCATTTGAATGCCATATTCCCATGTCATTGCAAAGATTAGATTAGTTTAGCCTAAAACAAGGGCTGGCAAACCATGGCCCATCAGCCAAGAATGACCCAACATCTGCTTTTGTAAATGTTTTATTGGAACAGAAACACACTCTTTCATTTATATATTAACTATGGCATTCTCCCTCCACTATAACAGCAGAAATGAGTAGATGCAACAGAAACCATAGAGCCTAAAATACTTACTATCTTGTCTTTGACAGAAAAATTTTGCCCACTTTTCATTTACAATATTTCTTTATACAAAACTTTTCATTATTCAAAGGACATAAATATTCCTTAAACTAAGATTTGGTATAAACAAAGCTTCAATTAACAAAAATAACCAGTCATTGTATCAACACTAAACTACACGTTAACGAAGAAGGAAATGTTTCTTTCACTTAAATTAATAACAAGAGATGAAAACTTTAAATTCTGATCCAGTAACTAGAAGAAAATACCAAAGAGATAAAGTCCTTCATCTTAATGAGTTTTAATTCCATGTTAGAATTTGTGTTTTTTAGGGTTTTAACCACTGAATTACTAAATCCCAGTCATCCTCTATGGCCTGAGCATTACCAGACCACCTTGCAGAATTCTGCTGTAAGTCTCACTAGCTATTACAAGAATGTCCTTTCTTTATACTGTAAGAATATTTCTGACCAAGTAAAAAGCTTTCAAAATGACATGCTTCAATGAACCATAACACACTATTGTTAATTTGGGTTAAATCTGTAAATTTAGTTTAACGTCTAAACATTAAAGTATATCCCTTATTAAATGCATGGAAAAGGCAAAGAAGACACTGTAGTACCTTTGGTACTGCAGCCTGGAAAACAAAGTCTGTCATGTCCAGCTCTGTGCTGTTGGAGGCCTGTATCGTTATCACTGTGACGCTAGGGTTGGTATTTGACCGTTCAAAGGTGAATTCTATCTTCAAGCCATTCTTACTGTACGCTGTGATGGAGGGGATGCCTGGAAAGCACAGGAAGATCAATCTAACTGCAGTCAGCTTAATGCTCACAGAATAATCTTCTTCAATAACTACCTCTCACTGAGGGTGATAATAACCAGTACCTGTAGTGATGTCATTGAAGAGAGGCTGTGATGAAAGCCCATCCAACAAGAAGGGGGGCTGGGATATCTGTGGGACTGAGGCAGGGGCAGGAGCAGCAGCTGGAGCACCTAAATGAAACATTCCAGTGGTAAGTCAATCTTAACCAGCATGACAAAGCTCACCAAAAAAACACCCAAAAACCCCAGGAGAAGATTGTTACATCTCACATTAAGAGAAGGATTCCTTAAACAAGCTGCAAAAAGCATAAACCAGGGGTGCCTGGGTGGCTCAGTCAGTTCAATGTTCCACTCTTGGTTTCCCCTCGAGTCAGGGTTATGAGATCAAGCCCTGCCTCAGGCTCCATGCTGAGTGCAGAGCCTGCTTAAGATTTTCTCTTCCCCTCTCCCTCTGTCCCTCCCACTCCTCGCACTCTCTGAATAAATAAGTAATATATTTCTTTAAAAAAAAAAAAAAAAGAACAAACCATAAAGGGAAAGAACTAAACATTCAAATACTTTAAAAAATACTGTAATAAAATAGGAAGAGAGACTATAGGCAGGAGAAAATGTTTGCTACAAAATGGCAAATGAATGAGTATCCAGAACTATAAATATTTTCTACAAATCAGTAAGAAAAAAGATGACCCAACTTAAAAAATGTTAAGAGATATAAACAAGAAATTCACAGAAGAGGGAAACTGAGTAATTTAAAGAGAATCTACTTCTACTCTCTGCTGTAGAGATGGCACACTAGTACAAACAACCTGGAGAACAATCTGGCAATAACAGAGTTGAACATGATTATACCTCTAAACTAAAGTTCCTGAACCTCAAAACTAATGAAATTTTAGGCTAATTATTTGCTGTAGGGGGCTATCCTGTGCACTGTAAGATATTTACCAGCACCCCTGGCTTCTACCCATTAAATGATAGCAGCATCTTCTCAGCTGTGACAATCAAAAAAATATCTCCAAACTCTGCCAACACCTGGCAGGCAAAATGATATTTTAATAATAATTTAATAAGATTTTATTTTATAAGCTAAGTAGATCAAGACATTTATTAAACTATATAGATGTTAAATACCACATAATAAAATTTTAACACACATGCACAGACACCCTGGGAGAGGTGGTATGAACTGGAAGAAAGAAGTCACCAAATTACCATCTTCATTTGATCCTTCCAAATAAGAACAAACTCAGGATCATGCAAGTGATAGAAAATGACCATGAACTGAGAGAAATCAGGATTCCAAGAAAAGGCATAAGAAAACAGTGAAATAAGGAGTTTTAGGTGTAAACAGATTTCAAACTACTTATGAAATTATCTGAAAATATACCATTTCAAAAAGGATTAACAAAGTGAAGGAGAGTTAAAATCTTTAAAAAAAAAAAAATACCCAAGTACATGAGAAAAAAAGTGACATTTGAGAGCAAGGAAGGTAAAAATATATATTGTTAAACAAACCTTAAGAAGCTAAAACAAATGTTAATACCACAGCAAGTATAGTCAAGCACATTACCAATAAGGTATACAGAGAAATATTCATATAATTCTCCTAACTTTTGTAACTCCAATCTAGTAGTTTTCCCATAATTTCCATTTTCAAAACAATTTCAGAAATGCATGCCCATGGAAAAATCAGAGGCTACTCAAAATACACAGGCAAGCATTATGGGTCCCTAAGTCCCTCAGACATTAGCTCTTTTCTCCTGTAAAGGGAACATTAAGTAGTTTGGGGAAACAACAAAAACTCACTGCTCCAGTTCTCCTAAAAAGACACACTAAATTTATTTCCTAATTTCCACTTACTTAAATGATTATGCATTACAATACAGGACTATAATTAATGATGGCTTAAAGAATATAATCCTCAAAAATGTCTAACCTAATAAAGAAAATGGGAAAATACATTTAATACACATTATAAGTAAGGAAAATCCAGGCTCTTTTAATGTTTTATCAGTTTGCTTTTTCATGTAACACTAGGAAAGAAAGTAAAAACAAAAACAAAACATTAAAACACTCCTGATAAATGAGTTTAAGATACAAAAGGAATATTCAAAAAAGAAATCCATGTGCAAAAATATAGATAGATATAACTATCCCTGTGATGAAAAAATGAAAATTTAACAAAATAACAGGGCCAATCTTTTACCTGGTAGGGTTTTTAAAAAATGAAAATACACAATGCTTATGACTGTACAGTGAAACTGGTAGCCACATGCTACTGAGGAAAAGATACAACATTTACAAAGTGCCTACTATGTGTCCTGTATGTACTGAATAAGCCACCATTCCTCACAAAGAGCTCATAAGGTAAAGTAGTTATCATCCTTCTTAAATTATTTTTTTAAAGATTTTATCTATTTATTTGACAGAGAGTGAGAGCAGAAGCAGGGGGAGTGGCAGGAAGAGGGTAAGGGAGAAGCTGACTCCCTGATGAGCAGAGGCCCATACTGGGCTTGATCCCAGGACCCTGGGATCATGACCCTAGCTGAAGGCTAATGCTTAAGTGACTGAGCCACCCAGGCACCCCCATCCTTTTTTTATTTTAAAAGATTTTATTTTTAAGTAATCTCTACATCCAAGCTGGGCTCGGACCCACAATACCAAGATGAAGAGGTACATGCTCTACTGATTCAGCCTGCCAGGCACCTCCCATCTTTACTTTAAACAGAACCAGAAATACTGAGTAACCTGATCTAAGAATGTAATCCAAAATAAGAGAAAATCAATGTAATGATGATATTTGTTGAGACATTCGTTACAAGAAATATCTGAAACAATACATCCAATAGTGGGGCGCCTGGGTGGCTCAGTGGGTTAAAGCCTCTGCCTTCAGCTCAGGTCATGATCCCAGGGTCCTGGGATCGAGCCCCACATCAGGTTCTCTGCTTGGTGGGGAGCCTACTTCCCCCTCTCTCTGCCTGCCTCTCAGCCTACTTGTGATCTCTGTCAAATAAATAAATAAAATCTTAAAAAAAAAAAAAACTGAGTAAATAATGATGCAAAAAAAAATTTTTTTTAAATGTTTTAACTAAGGGGCTGTTTTTGCTTTTTGATATATCCAGTAGAGCTATGGCATCTGAGGATGTGAAACTATCTGGGAATGACTCAAAAGTACGCATCAGTAACATTTTGAAATTTTGTTAAGGCATAAATAAACTATAAGCTCTGGGAAGAAGCTGTGTTAGGAAAAGTCATTTAGCCTCTGGTAGCTTGTCTAGATGAGCAGCCAAAATCCTCATCCTATGGCTACTTTCTATTTGAGGTCATATATGCAGTAACTCACCATTATACTTTTAAAGAAATCACTTGAGATAGAAATTATATGCTACAGTGATATGTTTGGACTCAGGGTTCATAATGTTACTGAATACATCAACAATCACTAATGTCTACTACATACAAACAAACATAAGAAAAAAAAATGTGCCAGGGGCACCTGGGTGGCTTAGTCATTAAGCATCTGCCTTTGGCTCAGGTCATGATCCCAGGATCCTGGGATAGAGCCCCGCGTAGGGCTCCCTGCTTGGCGGGAAGCCTGCTTCTCCCTCTCCCACTTCCCCTGCTTGTGTCCCCTCTTTCACTGTCTCTCTCTCTGTGTCAAATAAATAAATAAGATCTTAAAAGAAAAGAAAAGAAAAAAATGTTCCCAAATGAAAAGTTATGTTTGAATATTATCATCATGGACAATTTTCTCCCTCCATTGTTTTATTAAGAAGGTGAGAGGAAAATAGGTTAACGTCTCTCCACTCTCCACAAATGACCTTGGCTACTGAAAGCTGATCATGAGTAGAGAGAAACATAGAAAAAGTGATGTCTTAGGACACTAAGTAAAAGCAGAAGTGACTTGGAATATATTTCTTTTGTAGCCTGAAAGAGAAAGTCCTTTCTATCTTAAATACTAGGAGAGCAATTTATCCTCCCAAAATTAAAAATTGGACTCTTTATTCCCTGTGAATTGGCTCTAGAATATTAGCATGGCAGTTTACATCCCAGATGTTAAGATTCCATTCCTACTTCTCACTTAGCTTCTCCCCTCTATAACTGTTTCACATGCCAGAAAGTCTATGTTCAATGTAGTTTTTCCCTAAGGCCTTTATCCCCAGCCAAGGCATTAAGTAACTCCAGTCTGGTCTCACCTGTAAGGTTGATGTCTCCCAGCAAATCAAGAAGTTCTCCACCAGCAGAAGCTGGTTTGCTTGTAGGTGCAGTTGGAATAACAGGTGTTATGTCATTTCCTCCCAACAAATCCAATAAATCATTGGCCTATACAAGGAAATAATACATCAATTCATTAGTCATTTGTCTAATCTGCAATGAAGGCAAAGCTCTTTCAACACTTAAAAATAAGGAAGAGAGCCATCAATCAATCCAGGAACACCGAAGGGAATCCGCTGAGAGGTTATAAGGAACTGTTAAGATCATGAGGATTCCCAGATAAGCAAGTGAAAAGCTACCTGGCTGGTGGGCTGTGGCCCAGAGGGTGGTGGTTTGGTCTCTAGTGGAGCTGGTTCTGTCTCTCCATTTGTCTGCACAATCTCAGTAGGGCCATTTGTGGTCACTTTTTCCATGACAGGCATTCTCTCAAGGAGGGCAGACCTGGAAGAACCTGAAGTGGTTAAATTCTAGGCAGTTAACCTAGATTCCCTACCCAAGACAATCACTGTTACTATATTGGAGTCAAATATGGACAGCCACCTCCCCTCCCCACCCTGTAACACACACACTAAAATAGAAGGTAGATTACAAGAATACATGACCTAAATTCCTGGCTGGATTAAGGGCAGGCAAGAAACCTTGAATAGACAAACTGTCTACCTAAATCCCGAGAGACTGGGATTTCTTGGTGGTAGAGAAATTGGAATGAAAGAAAGGTAAATAAGTAGGAATTAACAAGTTCCAATCAAGAAGACACTGCATAACAGAAGTGGGAAAAAAGATCGTGTGTCACAGAGTTATACACTGGAATGAGATTCCGTTGAAAAAAAGAAAACAAACAAACCAAAACTCCCACCTCTTAACCCAATAAAATGGAACATGAAGCAAACATTTCACGCCAAAAGAAAGAGGAGAAGGTGAATAGGAGGACACGGCTGACTTGAGTCTTTACAGAGCAGGCAGAATAGAGGACAGACAAATAAGAGCAGTCAAGCAATTAGGACTAAACAGAGTTGTGAGGTCCAGGTAATCAAGCACAAGGAATGAGTCTCCTTTGTGGATTATCATGACAATGTGTTCAGGATGCTAACAGCCACATGCACTGCTCAGCTTCTTTCACTTACCTCATATGGTCATATTTCTTAAAAAGTGCATTATATTCTACTGCCCTCTGCTGGAGTTCCACATCAATGCTGCTTCCATAGATTGAAACCACTTTCTTAATTCGGCTTTGGGATAAAATGACAAACAAATTCAAATACCCAAAAGAAAGTTCATAAACAAGCAGAGAGAACAAACAAACCAGAGTTTTCACTCCTCTTTCCTTAATTTACATATCTTCAAAAACAAAACCCCTTTCCTTTGTCTTCTTTCATCCAACATACACTTCAACACCATCGTGTACCGCACTGTACTTGCTCTAACTGTAATGTTAGATTTTGTCTGTTAAATGTCCCATCCCTAAAATTTGCTAGAAAAAAGTACCAATTATTAATCTGTTACAAAAGAAGCATGTAATGTTCATTCTCTCAACACCTTTAAAATAAGCTTTTATCACCAAAATGTTATTACCTAACAATGAATTCTTCTAGTTCACAATTTAAAGAGTTAGTAAAAAATACCCTTTTTCACATGGCCTTACAGAAAATCTAAGAGAACTACGTTTGCCTTAAATATACCTGGCTGGGAAACTAATCCAACTGACTTTTATTCAAAATAGTGAAGAGCAGAATGTAAACATTTGACCACCAAAACCTTTGTGATTTTCTTCCTCTTCAGACATCTCAAAATACTATAATAAACCAGAACCCTTATATAGGGAAGTAACTTCTCTAACTTTGAACAAGAGAAAAGGCATTAGAAATCAGATTTTAAAAACGTAACTTTTTACCTTCAAAAAAATAAATGGTGGGGTGTGAGGGTAACAGGGAGCATAGTATAGATAAAATAAGGATGAACTACAAATTAATGATTACTATCATGGAAAAACAGGTATATAAAATTCATTTTACTATCCTATTTTTGCCTTTGCTTGAAATTTTCCATAACAAAAGAGTTTTTTAAAATTACAAATAACATGTCCATTCTACTTTTTCTCCATACTCACTTTACAGTACAGGTGAATCGAGTAGAAAGCTTCATAATGGCAGTGAGGGCATAACCTCGGGTCACAGAGGTGGACATATTAGAGATTAAGACACTTTCTAAAATATCCAACACTTCATCTTCTGTTACCTGGGGAAGGAAAAAAAAATAGGATGAATTCTAACAGTAGATATCTAAATTTGATTTCAAGTCACAGGATGCCACCAGAAAGACAACCCTACCATCATTACCAAAACTTCTAACACAATCTGTGCTTCGCCACCATTAAGTGTCCATGCTGATCCATCAGTCAGAGGCAGGTAGGAGGGAGGTTTAAAAAAACAAAAGAGTGGAAAATACCCAATGGGGGCTGCAAGACACATTATATTAGTTTCAAGGGGCAGAAGTAAAGGAAGAAAATAAAGGGATAAATAGAGTTCAAGTGCTGTTGTCGCAACTTCTCCTAAAGCCAGTCTTTTTTTTTAAATTTTTAATTTTTTTAATTTTTAATTTTTTTTTAAATTTTATTTACTTATTTGACAGGCAGAGATCACAAGCAGGCAGAGAGAGAGGAAAGGAAGTAGACTCCCCGCTGAGAGAGAGCCGGATGTAGGGCTCAATCCCAGGACCCTGGGATCATGACCTGAGCCAAAGGCAGAGGCTTTAACCCACTGAGCCACCCAGGCGCCCCAATTTTTTATTTTTTTAATTTCCTTTCAGTGTACCAGAATTCATTGTTTTTGCACCACACCCAGTGCTCCATGCAATACGTTCCCTCCATAATACCCACCACCAGGCTCACCCAACTTCCCACCCCCTGCCCCTTCAAAACCTTCAGATTGTTTTTCAGAGTCCATAGTCTCTCATGGTTCATCTCCCCCTCCAATTTCCCTCAACTCCCTTCTCCTCTCCATCTCCCCATGTCCTCCATGTTATTTCTTGTGCTCCACAAATAAATGAAAGCATATATTTTTTTAAAGATTTTATTTATTTATTTGACAGAGAGAGATCACAAGTAGGCAGAGAGGCAGGCAGAGAGAGAGGGAGAAGCAGGCTCCCCGCTGAGCAGAGGGCTTGACCTGGGGCTCTATCCAGAACCCTGAGATCATGATCTGAGCCGAAGGCAGAGGCTTTAACCCACTGAGCCACCCAGGCGCCCCTAAAGCCAGTCTTTTAATAAGCAAATGCAGACACAGATATGTCTCATTTCTTCTTATCAAGCCACAGGGTAGGAGAAACAATGTATTTTAGGCGGATGGAGCAGGGAGTCAGTCTGCAGGTGGTTTGAAAATCTCAGATAGGGCTAGTAAGTTCCATCTCAAAAACTGGCAAGTTTCCCAATATAATTCTGGCATTACCTTCTTTAACAGGTTTTTTAGGAATGAACCTCAACTCCTCATTAAACACTATCCTCCTGTAACCAAAACTACTATTTCCCCCCACCTGAAAGAGTAACAAGGAGTACCTGAATAGGTTCTTCCTCTTCACACTGGCCTGATACAAGAAGATCTCCATATTCACCTATACACCACGCAGCCACTTGTACCAAAGGTTGCTGTCAAAAGAAAGTCACCGTTTGTCAAAGGCTTTTCCTTGCAAGGATTAATGCAAATCACACGTCATCTAATCATAAAGGTCAAAACCAAGAAATATGTATCTGGAGTGTTAGTAGTAAGAACACACCAGGAACATAATGGGTAATTTCCCCACCAAAGCAGAAAGTACCTACTTGAGAATAATCACCAAGAATTGCTTTGTACAAGCGTTGGACAGTATAGGCATGCATCTCCACACTATTGGTTATTAACTGGATCAAGTTGGGGACTGCATCATCACGAACATAGCTTCCTGCCTAAAAGGAAACGCAGTTACCCTTAGAAACACACCGTAATGATAATAAAAGCTATTGCTTTTATTCAAAGGAGACGACTACAAAGCATCCTCAGAGATAAAGCTGGTTCCAATTCTCAGGTTTATACGCAGCTCAAACTTCAATTTTACTTATTCAAATGACTTACTTCTTATTTAAATGAATATTCTCATTTTATTAATTTTATAAAAAATTTAAAAATCTCTTTTGTCAAAGTAAAAGTAAAATATAAAGGACCTTTATCAAAACAGATTAGGTTTAAGAGTTCAAAAACGTATGAAGTACATTCATTGGGAACTTAACTACAACAACCTGTCCCTCTCACAACTCCCCAACACAGTTAAAAATCATATGAGCTAGCTAGAGAAGCCACATTACTCTGGGGGACGGAGAGGAGAGTGTGTATCAGCAGTCCAGAAAGGTGGCATTTTTTAAAAATTTCTTTTTAAGATTTATTTATTTGAGAGAGAGAGTGTGCCTGCATGTGAATGAATGGGGGATGAGGCAGAAGGAGAAACAGACTCCATGCTGAGCAGGACCCTGGGGATCATGACCTTGAACCTAAGGTAGATGCTTAACTGACTGAGCCACCCAGGCACCCCAAAAGGCAGCATTTTATTTTATTTTATTTTTTAAAAGGCAGCATTTTAAATAAGAATTAATAGTAATCTTTTTAAAACTGCAATTTATTTAAAATATCACATTGTCCTTTGAAAACTAGAGTTTATAAAAATTAAAGAACCATTCGTCCCAGAAAGGAGAAATATTTTGTATTCAATCATGCACACTAAAAACAAAAACAAACCTGGTCTCTCTAATGTCCTCTTGACTAGTAGAATCTGAGGTACTGTTCGCAACCATGCAACAAAGTAAAGCTATTTAACCTCTGAGGAAACTAAACCTTGGCCTTGTCAGAGGATTATGATAAGCAAGCTGTGCAGGACTATAAGCAGTGGAACATGTGTCTCCTATCAGCCCACCTTGATCAAGAACAGAGGACCAGATCTGACCTAGAAGAATGAGACCAAAAGGAAAAGAAGAAAGAGTAACAAAGAGAAAGAGAAATAGGGAAAGGAGAAAGAGAGAAACAGAAACAGAAAAAGAAAAAACCCCAGGTGATTGGGATACCCACACTTGCTAAAAAAACACAAAGCCAGAGGAGAGAGAACTTTGGGGAAATGGTCAAAAAGGAATGGACAGAAGTGAAAAAATAAGTAACTGTTTTACATTCTTCTTTCCTAATGGAAAAAAGTAGTGTTTTAAATAAGAGAAAGCATTAACATGATCTAATTGACATTTATACACCACTTCATCCAACAGCAGAAAACACATTATTCTCAAGCTCAAATGGAACATTCACCAAGACAAACCATATTCTAGGCCATTAAAAATCTCAAATTAATTAATTAATTAATTAATTTATTTATTTATTTAAAGTAGGTTCCATGTCCAACTTGGGGCACAGACTCATGACAGTGAGATCAAGAGTCACGTCCTCTACCAACTCAGCCAGGTAGCGGCCCCAGAAAGATCTCAAATTTAAAAAAATAAAAGACAGGGGCATCTGGGTGGCTCAGTTGGCTAAGAGTCTGCCTTCCGCTCAGGTCATGATTCTGAGGTCCTGGGATCGAGCCCCATGTTAAGTTTCCTGCTCACTGGGGAGTGTGCTTCTCCTTCTGCCCATCTCTCTCTCTCTCAAATAAATAAATAAAAATTTTTAAAAAATAAATAAATAGGGGCGCCTGGGTGGCTCAGTGGGTTAAGCTGCTGCCTTTGGCTCGGGTCGTGATCTCAGGGTCCTGGGATCGAGCCCCACATCGGGCTCTCTGCTCAGCGGGGAGCCTGCTTCCCCCCCCCCGCCTGCCTCTCTGCCTACGTGTGATCTCTGTCAAATAAATAAATAAAATCTTTAAAAATAAATAAATAAATAAATAAATAAATAAATAAAGGAATAAAAGTCATATAAGATTTAACTAGGAATCAGTAACACAAAGATAGCTAAGAAATCCCAAAATATTCGGAGACTACACAACTAAGTAACACAGAGGTCAAAGAAAATAACAGACCAGTATCTCTCACTAGTAGAGATGCAAAAATCCTAAAAAAAATCTATTAGCAAATCAAACATAGCAATGTATAAAAAGAACTACATACCATGACCAGGTTGGATTTATTCTAGGTATGGAAGGTTAGTTCAACATTCAAAAATCAATTAATGTAATCCAGCACATCAACAGGTTAAAGAGGAAAAATCATAGGACTGTAATAAGACTATAGAAGTCAATTGGAAAAATTAAAAGAATGAAGCACTGACAACATTTTTCTTCAAGAGCTTTAATTTTCTCTTCTCTTAAGCTTTATAAAATCTAAAATAAAGTGTCCTGATTTACAGCTTTTGTTAAAATATAATTTCTTCATTAGTGCATTAACTTTTTATGAAGTTAATTCAAGTAAACTAGCAAACCAGCATGTCAAAACAGAATCCCACAGCAACAAATACACACATGGTAATTTTAACGATTTCATTCCTTCCTACAGACACGTTTCATAACTTGCTTAACCAATGCCCATTTGGAGACTTGTATTTATTTCCAGTTTTCTCCCATTATAAACAAGATTGAGATGAATATCTTTGTATATATGTTTCTGTACACTTGTCCTTTCATTTTTCTAAGATAAATTACTAAAAAGACAATGACTGAATTCAAAAGTATAAACTAGGGGTACCTGGGTGCCTCAGTCAGTTAAGGGGCCAAATCTTGATTTCTGGAAGTGTTCTCTGGAAAAATGGCACCATTTTATACCCAATACGAAGTGGAGGGTACTGCCTATTTCTCTATTTTCTAACTACCACTAGGAATTTGATTAAAAAGTATGACAAGTGAAAAATGATATCTCCCTTGTAATTTTACAAGTAAAATTTCTTTATTAGTAAGGGTATTTGTCAATGTTAACTAGCCATTTCTTTCTTCTTTTGTGAAATGTCTGTTCAAATGCCAATTTTTCCATTACAGTGTTTGATTTTCCTAATTAATTGTAAACTATTTATAGATTAAAGATATTAACATGCTGTCATATGTTAGTGTTTTTCTCCACTTGTCATTTGCCTTTTAACTCTGTAGATTTTTTTCCTTTTGCCTTACAAGTTTTGAATTTTAATGTAATTGAACCTGTGAAAATTTCCCTTTATGGTATCTATTTCTGACACAGCAATTGAACACAGGTAGTTATGTTTTCTTTATATGCCACAACACTTTCATTTTAACTGTGAAATCTCTGATTCCTATTAATTGAATGATAAACAGAGATGCTCCAAAACTCTGGAAGACTGCCAAAGAAAGAATAACTTACAAATCTGTAATTTTAAAACCAGAATAAATGTAGTCATTCAAAACCCTCCAATGGCTTCCAAACTCCTCGAAGGCCCTATATAACCTAGCCCCTGCTTCAGTTCTACCATTCTCTGCCTCTCATGCTACTGGCTTCACTTGCCTTCTTATTGCCTCCAAGCAGGCCACACTTGCTGCTACTCAAGGGCTTTGCAACACTTGCTGTTCCCCCAAACCTTGGAATGGCTCCTCCTTTCACTGAGCTCTCTCCTCAAGTGTCACCTCCTCTGAGTGACCTGCCCTGACTACTCTACCTAAAAAAAACTGGCCCGCTGCCCCCATATTCCACTCTCTCCTGCCACTGCTGTAGTCCTTCATGCTGCTTCACTGTTTCTCGTAGTATTTTTTTCTTGCCTAACAGGATGGTACGTATTTCTCCATGAATTTCCTATCTCTCCCCCTAGAACTAGAATGTAAACCCTCCTGAGAACAAAGGGATTTGTCTGCCTCATTAACCAGCACATCCTGCACTTGGTATATGTTGACTAAAAAAACAGTACTTACCGTTGTCAGAACACGCATAATCGTGTCTATGTGCCACCGTTTGGAAGGTGCGTACCTGGGGAAATAATGGCACCAGATGAAATTATTGGAACCTGTGAACTATATTCTGTGCTCAGTGACTTTCAAAAATCCTGTCCTATAATCTTTTTTAGGTTTACTGGTAAAGTGATTATTTTGGGGCAAATCTTACCTTCGAATCTAGCAGCTACCCCCATTTCAAAGAGTAATGAAATGGTACACAAACTCAGATGTTTCCCATAATAACTGTAACACGAGTTACTGAGCTGAGACATGGGACTCCATCTCCAGTTTTTCAGAAAACAAATCACGAAGACAAAGCAGGAGGACAGAGAAGAAAGAAAAGGGATCCAAGCAATACCAGGACTAGAAACTCATTTCCTTAAATTCACAGTGCAGAGAGGAGAAATAACCATACTACTAAAATTGAGGTGGTACTTCCTAAAAGTTTTACACAGAATCACAATTTAGATGCTGTGATGCTATAGTCTTTCTATTCTCTACCCAAAACCCACAAAGAAACAAACAAAAGCTTCTCTATTCTCTTCTTCATAGATGAGAAGTTGAAGAACAGATATAAGAGGACATTTTATAAAAGTGGGCTGTTTTTGGTCTTAGTATACTTAAAATACTGGCTAGAATGTCCTTCTAATGAAGCAAATTTCCAACTGGGAAGCTGAAATAAACATTACACATTTTAAAGAGGTTTACAACATTTTCCCCAAGTTGTAAAGATGCTTTCAAAAAGTTCCAAGCATCTTTTACCACTAAATGTAAAAATTAAATCTTACTTTTCTGCAGCAAGAAAGATTCCAGATGCACAGTCTGCTTTAAATTCTGGCTCACAGGAATCCAGAAAATAAAGTAATTCCTTCATCATGCCTCGGATATTATTCCCATTTACCAGGGCAAAACTCAATTCCATTGCACGCCTTGCAGAGGGAAAACATTAAAAAAAAAAAAAAAAGTTATGATATTTATAGCAGGAACAAAACAAAGACCCAGGTGTGTTGTTTCTGAACATCAAGTACTGGCAGATATATTGATGTCCTTCCATGATCTTGTGATCGCAATCTTTGTACACAAGACAACTAAAGTTAACAAGGTTAGTTTTAGCATTTTGAATCTTCATTCAACACTTTTCCTCAAAAAGCTCTAAAAGATACACTACCTATGACCAAAAATGCAGTTTGGGTTCAACAGTCTAAGAAGCTGAAATTCAGAATACTTAAAAGGCTCAAAAAGAGAAGCAACAAAAGTATTACCGAAAGATACCCCTTTGCATTATTCCTTAAAAACGTGATAAAGCCACCACGTTCGCCTTTTATTACATCCATTTCTGTTCAAAGATCATGTAACAGTCTACATCAAAAGATATACAGAAAATTGGAATAAAAACACACTTTGAAGGTATTATGATAAGCGAAATAAGTCAGAGAAAAACAAATACTGTATGATGTCACCTACACCTGGAAGCTAAAAAAGTCAAAAGCATAGAAACAGACTAGAATGGTGGTTACCAGGGTCTGGGGTGGGTGGGTGGGGGGATGTCGATCAAAAGGTACAAACTTCAGCCATAAAATGGGTAAATTCTGGGGATCTAATGCAGAGCATGACAACAAAAATTAATAATTATAAAAATGTATTATATACTTGAAAGTTGCTAAGGGAATAGATCTCAACTATTCTCAGCACAAAAAAGAAATGGTAACTATATAGTATGACATAGGTGTCATAATGCCATGGTGGAACTATTTTACAATACATATCAAATCAATGTAACTGTAAACATCAAACTTACACAACGTTTATGTTCATTTTTTTCTCAATAAAGCTGGCAGGGGCCGGGGGTGCAGAAGAGAGAATGAGGGCCATGAAAAGGGAAAAAGGGCATGTGCTGTGCGGGCAAATAAGAGTTTCTATAACTGCCTATCGAATTTGGCAACCAAGGCAAAATGGAAATGTCTGACATGCAAAAGTTAGAAGATTACTACATGCATCTTCTCATATTTGGTCAGTAATTTCAAACATGATATATAATTTACTTTCAAAATACCAATTTAATAAGTAAGAAATACTTTCATCTTAGCTAATCTATGAACAACATTCAATCTTTACAGGGATACAATAATAGCTAATTCTTGTACAGTGCTTAAGTACTTTACATATAATAATCCAGTTAATCCTGCATAACCCTTGAAGTGGGTGCTCATTTTTTTTTTTTTTTTAAGATTTATTTTAGAGATAGAGAGAGAGAATGAGGGGTGGGGAGGGGCAGAGGTTGAGGGAGAGAGAGAGGGAAAAGCAGGCTCCCCACTGAGCAGAAAGCCTAACATGGGGCTCAATCCAAGGACCCAGAGATCCAACCTGAGGCAGGATAAGACGCTTAACCGCTTACCAGACTGAGCCAAACAGGCGCCTCTGGAGTGGGTGCTCTTGCATTTGCATTTTACATATGGGACAACTGAGGCAAAGAAAGGTTAAGTGACCAAAGCAAGTTTAATAAAGACAGAGCCAAAATTTGAAATGAGGCATTCGGGCTGCAGAGTCTCAGCTCTTAGTGTTAAACAGCCTGTCAAGAAGACACAGTTTTTACTTTTGAAATGCAAATCCCAGTCATGAGAAATAGAGAAACAACACAATAGGAGTCAGAAGGTCTAATTTCTATTCCCAGGGGCTCCTGGGTGGCTCAGTGGGTGAAAGCCTCTGCCTTCAGCTCAGGTCATGATCTCAGGGTCCTGGGATTGAGCCCCACATCGGGCTCTTGGCTCGGCGGGGAGCCTGCTTCCCCCTCTCCCTCTGCCTGCCTCTCTGCCTGCTTGTGATCTCTCTCTCTGTCAAATAAATAAATAAAATCTTTAAAAAATAATAATAATTTCTATTCCCAGGTCTGCCCCTTACAGAGGTAGGTTTAGAGGAAATCATTTGATTCCTGTGGAACTGTATTTTAACTAATTTGTTAAGTGGGGACAGAAGTAATTGCCTAGTCTATCTCACTGGCTTGCTTTGAGAATCAACTGAGAGGGTGCTTATAAGCCCTGTGCAAAGCACCCCCCCACCACCACCACACACAAAAACCCTGGGGTGCCTGGCTGGCTGAGTTGCTGGAGCATGCAACTCTTATAGGGTTGTAGGTTCAAGGCCCACACTGGGTACAGAGATCACTTAAAAATAAAATCTTTAGGGGCGCCTGGGTGGCTCTGTGGGTTAAAGCCTCTGCCTTCGGCTCAGGTCATGATCCCAGGTTCCTGGGATGGACCCCGCACTGGGCTTTCTGCTCAGCGGGAGGCCTGCTTCCCTTCCTCTCTCTCTGCCTACTTGTGATCTCTGTCTGTCAAATAAATAATAAATTAAAAAAATATATTAAAAAAAAATAAAATCTTTAAAAGAAAAATTTTTTTAATTTAAAAAAAGTCCTGTGCAAAGCACTAGGTGAGTTATGGTGGCTGAGTTTAGGTCTGTCTTTACATTGCTCACGCGTGTAGCATCTGCTCTCTGAAAATAAAAGGAACTCAATATCAATAGATACTTGTTAAATGAATGGTTTCAGAAATCACTTCAAATCTAATTTATTCTGGATTTGAACACACAACCAAAAGTTCACTGAGGCCAACTTTAACGAGGTTTTACAAACATCTCTCAGTTCTTCCCATAGATTCAGTGGAGTTATTCCACTGGGGAAAAGAAATTATGCCTTTTCAAAGTGCTATCTGCTGCCTAACAGTCATTCTTAGACGCACTGTTCTAAAAAACACAGCTGCTTCTAGCATCTCAGGGCATAAGTACTGTGGGAAAATGTGTGCTGTCAGCAACTGAGTTTCAGCATTGTGATAAAACACTTAGCCGATGGATCACTCCGCATTTTCATCCTCCAGCACACAGAGCACAGTACTTCTGTTAAGCAGACCTCTCCCCAGCTTATATATGTACCTGTTTGTTTGTACAAAGAACCAAGGAGAACTGCAGTGTGCACTTCAGTACTCCTTATTGGCCTCTCTCACTGATCTAACCTTCCCCCTGCCGATCCTCTCTTAAAAAGGATTTCCTCAGCAGAGTTCAACTGTGAAAATAATGACTAAATAAACAAATGGCAACATACTCATTCTCAGAACTATTATGAAGTTATCAGGTAGGGGGTAGAGCAGAGAACGATCAGTAATCTGTTACCGTTTTATTGAGACATCCAAATCCTTTAAGCAGTCCACAATTGTGCTTCTGTGCCTCTGTACTGCATTATGATCTGTCTGCACTGTCTTCAACAAAGATGTCAAAGCTACATATCTGGATGGAACACAGTTGAAATGAAATGAAATGTAAAATTCAGGATAGTTCTTCTCTACTTAAATAATGACAAAGAAGATGTCTAATGACTATATATCTTTAAACATTTAAAAGTCAAGACAGAATTAGTGTAAGAGTAACATCTTAAAAGCATAAAAGACACTACAATCTTAAGTAGTGGTAATCACGAGAATTTATTAGATTTGCATTCATGGTCAAGTCCACTTAAACTTCTAAAAGTGACTGATTCCATTCTTCCAAATTATTCCAAGTAGTACAACAAAACAAGCATATAGTACGCCTTTCCTTAGCCCCAAAACACAAGAGAAAATGATTTCAATGTTACCATTTGTATTTTCTTTGTTTTTATTTGATACTGGTACCAAAACTGCCCCTGTAAAAATCTGAGTTTAAGATTCAAATATTTAAAAATTCTTTTGGAAGGAGGAGATAATTCAGGGTACCACAATGATTATTTACACATTTTTAAATGCTCACATAAGAAAGAATATTTTCTCCTGATTAAAACGGGAAAAAGGGCAAGGAAGATATAATACATGAAGGAAAGTAACAAAATAAAATACTTATAAATTCATCTACTTAAAAAAATTAGCTGGAGTTGACAAACACATTCCAGGTCTGCAGTGCAAAATGTTACTTTTTTCTTCTTAATTTAGAGCTGAGGTCAGCAAGCCACAGCTTCTACCTACAAGACTCTAGCCCTATCCTGCATGGTTCTATAAATGAATTTTTACTGGAACACAGCCACTCACTACTTACATAGTCTATGACTGCTTTCATACCAAGACACAGGATTTTGAATAGTTGCCAGAGAGACCCTAAGGCCCACAGAGCCTAAAATAGTGACCATCTGATCCTTCACAGAAAAAGTCTGCTGACTCCTAATGCTGACAGTGTAAACCAAAGTAAAAGTTAAGTCATGAGCCAAATCCTCAAATTCTTTACAAAACAGTAGCTTTAAGTTTTAAAATTTAAAAATAAAAATCCTGAGTTGAAGTTCTAGAAAAGTCACTCAGTACATATGCGATCTTGAGCAAAATCACTCTTGAAAACACTGAGTTTCTAATACCAAGATACAAGATATTTTCCAGCTGACTTACCTAATATTCTTGTCATTGTTCAATAAGAAACGACCAAGGATGTTTATGGCTAAGACCTAAAGAGAAATAACACAGGTTAAAAATCTAATAAAATTAAACATTTATGTTGTATAAGGATCACCTCCTGACCCCTGATGGTGCAAACTATTTAAAGGTGATAGTTGATACTTCTGCAGATGGCTAGCAAAAAACAAAAATGAAACAAAACAAAAATCTGAGGGCAAACTCATAAAATTATACTCTTTCAAAAGTAATTGCTAAAAGATTATGTTTTAAAGTTTTTATACTGTTAGTGGAAGAATAATACTGGCACAGCCTCACTGGAGAAAATTCTGGCAATTATACATATTTTAAACATCTCCTCTGCTTCCACAATTCCACTTACAGAAATTTATCTGAAAAACACACTTGCACATATGCACAAGAATCTACTGCAACACTATCTGTAATCACAAATGACTGGGACATGCTAAGTGTCCATTAATAGCAAGTTTGCTAAGTACACTATAGCACATCCACACAACGGAGTATCATGCAGCCATTAGGGTTCTGACACATACTATAACATGGATGAACCTTGAAGACATTATGCTAACTGAAATAAGCCAACTACAAAGGGACAATACTCTATGATTCCACTTTTATGAGGTATCACAAATAGTCAAATTCAGAAAAAGAAAGTGGAATGATGGTTGCCAGGCACTGAAGGTAGGAAATAATGGAAAGTTATTGTTTAATGAGTACAAAGTTTCTGTTTGGGAAGACAAAAAAGTTCAGAAGATATATGGTGGTGCTGGTTGCAAAAGTGAATTACTTAATGCCACTGAACTACAGACTTAAAAATGGTTAACTTTTATATTATGTATATTCCACCATTTTTTTTTAAATGAGAATGGTCTCTATACATGAATATGGACTAATTCCAAGATAATGTTAGGTGGAAAGAGTAAGGTGCAGGACAATCTATACAATATGTTATCATTTTGCTTGAAAGGAAGGGAGAGGAAGAGAACTAACCTAAATTACTTTGGTTAAGTTATCCAGATACTGGAATGATAAGGACAAAAAGAACTGTATACATTTAAATACTGGACTGTATTTAGTAAACCTGTTTCTTACAAGGCTACGAACTAGCGATTCTTATATCATTAAGTGATTGAAAAAATGAATAAATTCATGAATAAATTCCTCCTTACAGAGGAATTACAATTATTTAATGAGGAAAAAATGAGGCAAATAGAAAAGTGTCACTGGAACACTACCCTAATAACTACTGTAGAAAAGATTCTCTGATGGAGGGCGCCTGGGTGGCTCAGTGGGTTAAGCCTCTGCCTTTGGTTCAGGTCATGGTCTCAGGGTCCTTGGATTGAGGCCCTCATCGGGCTCTCTGCTCAGCACGGAGCCTGCTTCCCCCTCTCTCTCTGCCTGCCTCTCTGCCTACTTGTGATCTCTGTCTGTCAAACACATAAATAAAATCTTTAAAAAAAAAAATTATTGGATGGATACTAAAATGGGTGGGCAAAAAGTCTGAGAACAGGGTGTTTGCAAAGTCTCAAAGTATCTCACTCAAACTATTTTTAATTACAAATGAAAAAATAACAATACAGTGGAGAGCCATAACAGACACCACCTTAACCAAATGACCAAGGTTAATATCACCAGTAATGAAACAAACAGATGGCATGTCTCTCCTGATAGGATACTGAGAAGGGCACATCACTTCTGTGGTAGTCTTGCCAAAAAAGCATAACCTCAGTCTAATCATGAGAAAACTTCAGAGAGAGCCAAACTGAGGGACATTCTACGAAGTAACTGATCAGTACTCTTCAAAAGTGTCAAAGTCATGAAAGGCACAGAAAGATGGAGGAATTGCCTCAGACTGGAGGGCACTAAGGAGACATGACAAATACAAGTGGAATCGAGGATCAGCTCCTCAAACAGAAAAATGGCAGAAGTAGAAAAATTGGTGGAAGCTGACTAAATTCTGTAATTTAGCATGATACCAATACTAACTCCTTAATTTTGATAATTGTCTCTAGTTATGCATGATGTTAATATTAGGGGAAACTGAGTGAAGAGTATGTGCAAGCTCTAAACTATTTTTGCAACTTTTCTGTAAGTCTAAAATTACTGCCAAAAGTTTCAAAAGGTGGGGCGCCTGTGTGGCTCAGTGGGTTAAAGCCTCTGCCTTCAGCTCAGGTCATGATCTCAGGGTCCTGGGATCGAGCCCCACATCAGGCTCTCTGCTCAGCAGGGAGCCTGCTTCCTCCTCTCTCTCTTCCTGCCTCTCTACTTGTGATCTCTCTCTCTCTCTCTGTCAAATAAAAAAAAAAAAAAAAGTTTCAAAACGTGAGGAAGAGAAGAAATACATGTGTACAGACACATTTTCAGATTTCTGAAAAAATACATGAGGAAAGGGTAACCATATTCCCCACTAGGAGAATGTGAAAGCTACAGGAAGACATTTCCCTCCCCACACACCTTTGGTACTGTTTTAGCTTTTTTACTTTAAGTGTTCATTTCTTTAAAAAAAAAAAAAAACAAATATTTAAGAAAAACAAAGTAACTCAAATATGATGTCTTATTTGGAGTGATGAATACAATTCAAATCATGGCTCTAATAAAAAGTTTATTTTGAAATGTTTCCTTCACTCAACAGTATCTATATATCTAACTATACCTAAGAGCTCCCAAACTTTATTGTAATCAATATTAAAAGCCTTCAATGGAGGGAATGATACTTCAGATCCCAAAACACAGCATTATACATTCCACATCACTTTCCTAAAGTTAATTTCCAAATGCAATTCATTTCTACAGTACTCAAGCCTAAGTTATTTATTCTAATTGAAATGTTTAGGGAAAGATTTAAAAAGACTTACTCGCAGTCCACTCTCTGACTTAATATCCATGATAGTCAAAACCGTTTCATAAAGAATAGCATTTCCTACATTTTTACTAGTCTCCGTATTTGTGGCAACCTGTAAAGTCACAAGTGGGCAGTACATTAGTGACAAAATAACACTTTCAAAAAATATCCAGAGGTAACAAGAGACAGTTTGTGAATGATTACAGCCACCAATGAGGAGACACAAATAAATACTGCTCCATCTAACCACCATCATTCTACTCCCACTATACTACAATGAAGATTTTATACAACGCAGACTGAGTCTACTCACCTGTGCTAATATATCATTCATAGCTTCACTTGAGTCATCATCATTTCGTCCTAAAATTCTTAATAACCGCAAAATTCGTACCTAACATGCAAAATATGATTAGTGTCAACAAATTACACCTGGCACAAAGAAACTTACTTGGTATAAAACTCAAATAACTTAAATGAAGTCTCAGATCTCATTAGAAATGGTCAAAATTCAAACAGAAGAATTTTAAACATTATCTTTAGAGAAGTAGTAAATACTTCTAAGTCTGAATGAGGTAATTAGACAACCCACACTTCATCACTCCACAGCTAAAGGATACCACCACCTACAAAGCTTTAGTATATTGATAAGTCAAGTCTCTATGTGATAGATATTACATAGTACAACTATAATTTTATTCTACTAATGCAGTATAGAACTGTCACTATTCACTTATTAATGTAATTTGTTTAATCAGTTAATAATCAAATTCCTACTGACATAAACTTAAGAGGAAAGAAACAATTTATTCCAAAGGTATTAAACTCATTCCTCCAAAATTATCTTTCAACCTCACCTGCAAAAAGGGGTCACTGATACCAGAAACATCATGTTCTGGTGAATATCCCGACATGATGAGGTTCTTTAGAATACGAACTAATTGGGGCACAAGCTGCAGAGAAGAAAAATGCATCAAAAAACAGTGAACATCAAAGAATTTCTCATGAATAGGCAGGTAATTTGCCTAATTAAAAAGGGGGGCAAGGGTCTGAATCCAAGAAAATTCTACTGATACCATACGCTGGTATACTGCTGATGCTTGATAAACAGAACTTAAGAGTACCTAGGCCAGGAACTCAAGACGGAATATGTATTTTATCTGAATTAAAAACAAATGACGCTTTTACCCTAGAGTTATATATGCAAAGAGACTACAAGTAATAGGAGGTCAGAAAGCCTATGGGAATCAAGTCAAACAGATGTCTACAGGGCACATTGCATTTCTACTTCTACAGAACTTGACATATCTCAGTAACACAAACATGTTCGGTTTTTATTCACTCAAACATTTGAATATAAAACATTATCACCAAAAAATACTGGTGATTTTATTAAAATTACAGTTTTAAGATATACTATCTCAAACAGAGAAAAAACTTAAGACAAGGCTAGTTCTATTCTTTTCCAACAAACAACAGGGAATCCAAAAGCCTCCAACACTGACCAAGTGGAAAAGACACATAAAAAAAATTGTTCTTTTCACCTTAAGAAGATGGCAAGACCGTGAATAATTTCCTTTCCCTATTCTTAACTCATAAGATACAATTTTCGGTAAAATTTTATTTCAGCACTTAATTATACACACTTTGTTGCCTACTTTGTCTCATCTTGTTAATGAAACTATGTATTCCTTATGGTCTGAATTCTCCTCTTGCCCTTCCTTTACTTTGTCCACTAGAGTCATAACACATAGTAGAGGCAATTTTATGGCTAAGCTGAACTTCAAAGTCTTTTTTTCAAATGCTTCAAATGTTACCATTCATTTCATTCTGTTGATTAAGCACTTAATCTTAAACCCTGTTCCAAAATGTGCACCACAATGGGAACTTTTCTGGGCTCCAACTAAAAACTCAATTTAGCTACATAAACAATTCTATCACCTAAAATTAAGAAAACAAGTGTCCAAAGTGAAGCAAATCACATCTCTTTTGGAGGCGATCAGAACAGCCCCAACCAATTTGCTGCAACTCAATGACTTTTTCTCACTGTGTTCTGGCTCTGTTCCTCCTTACGCCTCAACTTTAAAAGGGAATCAAGATCAAAACAAAGGCCAAGGAATGCACTCACAACACTGAGGCCACTTTTCAATATGAGAATATAATCTGTATGGATTTAAAGAAGTTCGGCTGTAACACTTCAGAATTAGGTGATTCATAAGCCATTTAAACAAAATTCTAACTTGGACAACTCCAAGATTAAAACAAACCTAAGTTACGGTGACCTGTAAATTCTAAACAGAATCCCCATTAAATCTGTCAACTGTGGACAGATTTGTATTAGTGGGAAGAATAATATAAATTTGTAAACTGCTTTTAACATGTAATAAAGCCGGGATCACCTAGTTACCAGGCTCTGCACAAAAAGTGGCTCAGCCTGCATACTTCCCAATGGCCTCCTTTTTTGTACTACACATATCCCTAATTACCTGTTTAACCTGATTTCTTAGAGAAGTCTTTTTCCCTTGGGCTACTAAATTCACAAATTTTTTTATTCACGGACACAAGACCAGCACACCGCATAAAACTGTCCTGGGACAAAAAGCACAAATGCCTAAATGTTTAGCATACAAATTCTTGGAACCCAGCTTTATTTTTCAGACAAAAACGCAAGTCACTAAAACTTATGACAAGACAAACAAGATAAGATGACAAAGGGAAACGCTGCAGCCATGAAAATCAGTTGATGCCCACCCACTCTATCCCATAATCCTTTCATATCCCAAAACTTCCAGGAAAGAGTAAGTGCAGGTAAGGGAGAAATAAGAGCTCTAAGTCTGGACCGAGAGCTCAGAAGTACATACAGAGCTTTTTATAAAGTATGAGGTTACCCACACATAATTCTAAAATATCTACTTCAAAAAGAAGCAGTGTTTTGTGCCAAGGCTCCAAACTGATCTGGAATTGCCATCACCAAAGCCACTGGGAAACTGTTCAAAGTTTCTCAAGTGAATATGAAGAAAAGGCAGAGAGGGAGGCTTAGAATTCAGGAAAGGCTGCAACTGAAATCCAAGGCTGACTTTGGAGTGAAGAGTTTAAGTGACAAGACAAAAACTGGACTCGGGAGTTAGCCAAAAATGCTAAAACAAATAACTCATAGTATTAAGCACAGCTTCAGCATTAGTTTATTTTTTAAAAAGCTACATTTGTGGATGGATGCACAAAAGCTACTAAGGACCTAATGCCAGCATGCACCATCTAAAAGAGGGTTAATTCTTACCTTTTCATTCTAACATACAGCAGGATTCCAAACAGACAACAGGAACAAAACATACAAAGCAAGCATTAGGGACAGATACAGGCCTCATACTATTTTACAATAATTTAATCAAGACATGAACATCTAAGAAGAAAAAAAAACAATCAAAAAAATAAATGCTATTAGAGCCTCGTTAGATCTAAAATACAAAATAAGCCCCATTTATCGGTGATCAGCACTTTAAAAAGGAATTAAATGCATGTAACTACCCAAAGTACAGTTTTTCCCAGGCATCCTTACTACCGTCTTCTAAAAGCCAATGAAGAAAACAAAAATTTCCACTTTAGAATGCTTAAGAAAGAGAGGGGGGAACCTAAGAGAGCTAGACTTCAGTCACCAGAGTCAAGAGTCTAAAATGAACAGAAGGTGACCCTGTGTTACATAAAAGTAATGTAAAACTTCACTTTGCAGTTTTCACCTTAAACAAAACAAATTACCTGCCTTTAAAAACACACACCGCATCACCCACCCACACACACAGGCGCGCGCACGGGCATGCACGCACACACAATTCCTGTTTGTAATTTGACCTCAAGTTACATTTCCTGTCTTCAATGTGAAAACAGCAGATAAAGCACATGAGAGACTGGTAAGTGTGCCAACACTGAGAGACTTCTATTATGAAAGGGAAAACACTGTACTACTGCCAGTTCTTATATGCCTAAATCTGGCTTCCAGCCCTACCACACAGCAGGGCTGGTCAAGTCCTTTATTCAGCTCCATAACTTCCTTTCAAAAGAAAATTCCTAAGTGAGGAAATCATGTACTCTTCAGGAAAATTGTTTTTCAATCAAGAAAGGCTTAGGCATACAGAATGGTACCCTACCTTTCTGAAATGTGCAAGCATGTCTGGGCTTCGTTCACACATTTCTGTGAGGAGGACTACAGATGTGTGAAGGACACCTGAAAGATAAGAGCAAATGAAAACTAAAACGAGGCTGTATGTTACTCAACTCCACAGAATAGGGCTTTGAGTTCTGCAGGTCAATTCCAAAAAGATAGTTGCTACCTTTGTTTTTAATTTCCCAAAGAAGCTAAGCACTGAGGTGAATACAAAGGAAATATTAAACAGACGCCTGGTCAACTCAGTTAAATCACAATATTTTAAACTATGTAACCAAGATAACTGCTAAAAAATGATAACCAACACACGTGTCTCTCCATCTGAGCCTATCCATAAGGAAATACTCACAGTCACTATAAGCTAGGTATCATCTGCCCTGTACTTATTAAAGAGCTGTTAGCTGAGATCTGATCATTCAAAAAGGAAAAATCTTAAAAAAACTTTTAAATTTCCAGATAAAATGCATCAAAACTCCAAGGTAATTATGGATGACAAAGTAAACACACTTGTTCCAGAGTAAAAAGAATCTCACAACAGTTTCCACTACTAAAAAGTAAGTACCCTACCACTCATTTGTCCAACAAGTTTACTTTGAGCCTTCCAGGCACAGGACTGAATTAATCAAATTAAATATACCTTACCATTTTTTTCTCTTAACATTTAGTAGGACAAATGAATTTTCTTTACTCAGAACTTGTTTCACTGACTTCAAAATAAGAATGAAAGTATGGGAAAAAATAGCCATGTTCCATTTAGTTTCTCTCAAGTTTTATATAAATATATCTAAGTACCCATTATAAATTCCTGTTACAAGTAACCTAAAGGATTTTCATAAATTTTATACTCCTACCACAAGGTAATAAAAATATTTTTTTTTTCCCTAGGGCAAGATAGCTAGGAAATCAAAGTGTTTTAGATATGAAAATCAAGGCTAGGATCATTTGTAAATTACATTGAGTATCAGTAACTTAACATAGTATTTTTAATATAGTAAAAGAGGACTGAAAATGGAAACCAAGTTTACTATGAAGGAATCAATCTCTAATTATAAAAGTAGGATTTGAGAAAAGTGAGACTTGACCCATCAACCCTTCCTGGCAAAGTGTCTAAGCACAGCAAAAAGGTAAGTCCACTGCACTCAAAGAGAAAGCCAAAACTCCCTGAAGCCCTTTCTCTTTCCTGCTTTCCCTCAGTACTTCACAAGCACGTCCAAATCACATTACCATGGTTCTTTTCATTCAATAAATTTTTTGTTGCTGGTAAAAACATCTCCATAAGTTCAGGAACCTTCCTGATGACATGAACAGCACATAGCGCTGCCTATGAAGGAAAAGGAAAAAGATTTATTTCAACCAAGTCAGGGCAACCAGTCTTACAAAAAATACCAACAAAAGCCTTCTCATTTAGTTCAACTAATGAAAGAAGAAAGAACAAAGAAGTGAGACATCAGATTTATTATATATTAACTGGTCAGGACTTTCCAATTTATACTATTTCATCAACGAGAACTCTTAGCTCAGCTGTCCCTTTGTTCGTGTATTACTAAATAAGTGGACAAAAACTTCCTAGACTAGACCATGGTTAACATGAATTTATCATACAAATTAAATATAACTTCTATGTTTTTCCAAGTAAAAAATAAAGACTTCCATTTGTGATACTCATTCTTCTAAGATGACCAAAAGGTTTTATAAAAACACTATAAAATTTAAAGATACATTACTACTGTTAGTTGTTTTTTTTTTACTACTGTTAGTTTTAATAATACCTATTATCTTCCCCAATTCATTCTCTGCTGATATTAAGAAAATCATTTGATAATTAGCTAGTCTCTACTGAAGAAAAGATGGTCTTGGCTTGTTCGCTGGAAAAAAAGGTACAAAGACTGATTTTGATTACGCATATCAAAAGTACCCATAAATACTATTTGCTGGAGTAAAATACCACAAACAAAATAGATATAGTAACAAGAAAAGATTTCAGCTAATTCTTCCCAAGTTATATTTGGGGGAAAAAAGTTTTTTTTCCAACCCACAGAAGTGTTTTATTTCATGAAATAATGTACTTTTTGAACAAGAACAGCCCACTCATACTTTAAGAGAAAGCATTGACTTTGGTTCACAATCATCATCAACAGTCCATGATTCTAGAAAACAGCTTTGGCCTTGTCACACCATTAATGTGGCGGCACAGTGAATGACAACCAGGCAATAGTAAGTGCTTGCGTCTTCTAAGTTCTACATTTTACACCCTTTGTTTATGAAGGTTACAAGGTTCAAGCACAATTTTAAAAAACATAAATGTTTATATCAACATATAAAAGCAAGTAAGAGAGTAAGTTTATTGTCTTCCATTACTATTCCATTTAGACACACCAATTTATAAAGTATGTTCTAGATCATTCTCTAATAATTACGTAGGTCCCAATGGAACTGCATTTCCAGAGATTCAAAGTCACTCATACAAAGACATGGGCACTAATTATTAGGACAAAAGTAAATTCTTAAAGTTCTGTTCATTATCACTCTATTTAATACTGTTTAGAATCTGGCAAATTAGGAAGTAATTAGGTATCTAGGATATCCAGTAACATTTGTTTGTTTATAAATCATTCCCTTGAAAAACGGAAAATTAAGAGAAGAATTAAAGTGTTGACAATTACCAACTGGAGTTAATTATTAATAATAAAAAAAAAGACCTCCAAAATTAGTATAAAGACAGATTTTGACTTACAAACACCTGATTCATATATAAGCATTTAAAATATATCTACTGCCAAGAAAGATACGTTATACCATCATCAGAGCTCTCAAAAATAATTTGCCTCCCCATCTCCATAATAGTCCCTGATCCAAATGCAGACATTTGGTTTCATTAAAAGTTACCTTTTTTCTTAAGTAAGAATTGGAGGTTTTCAGGAGTTTCTCTACCTCTCCTGCAAGATCTCTGCACATCTCTGAAGAGCCCATACAGCCAAGGGTACAAAGTGCTAGCCCCTGTACATATTGCGTGCTATGATTAAGATCACTGCAAAAGAATGGAAAAAGGTAGAAATGAACATGCTTTTACTTGTGCTCCGCATACATAAGCTTCACAATCTAATGAGGCAACTCTGAATGATTCACAATTTGTCCAATAAGAAAAATAATTAATAAGATTATTTGTTGCAAAAATATGTTTAACTTATTACAAATTACCAATACAGTGAACTGATTTACCGTGCCTCCTACAGGCTTACAACTCCATGTTTCCAAATACCAAAGTAACAGAAATTCAGCGATATGTTATCTGTTGAAGACAAACTACTTCAGAAAATTCAACAAACCAATGAAAGTGAAAGCCAACAAAGACAGAAATGTGAAGCACAACTATATGTTTAGAAGATCTGGAGAGGCGCCTGGGTGGCTCAGTCAGTTAAGGGTCTGACTCTTCATTTCCCTCAGGTCATGATCTCAGGGTTGTGAAATCGAGCCCTGCACTGGGCTCCACACTGGGTGAGGAGCCCAATTAAGATTCTCTCTCTCTCCCTCCATTCCTCCTCCCCCTGCACGACACCCCCTTATACCCCCACTTTCCCCCCACCCCACTCTGGCGCATGCACATTCTCTCTAAAGAATAAAAATTTTAAAAATTTAATACACTCTACTAGTATTTACTAAAAAAAATGACAAGATATACATACATCAACCAAAACCTTTAAAAAAAAAAATCAAAAAGCAGTCCCCCCACTAGAGTATTTTTTTTTTTTAAAGATTCCACTTATTTATTTGACAGAGAGAGAGAGAGAGAGATCACAAGTAGGCAGAGAGGCAGGGGGAAGCAGGCTCCCCGCTGAGCAGAGAACCCAATGTGGGGCTCGATCCCAGGACCCTGAGATCATGATCTGAGCCGAAGGCAGAGGCCTAACCCACTGAGCCACCCAGGGACCCCTACTAGAGCATTTAAGGTGACTTAAATATCACAACAGAAATACTTTGAAACCTCTAACCTTATGGTATAATATTTACCTTGCTGTCACATTAATTTTTACATTTTTTTAAAGATTTATTTATATGACAGACAGACATAGTGAGAAAGGGAACACCAGCAGGGGAGTAGGACAGGGAGAAGCAGGCCTCCCACTGAGTAGGAAACCCTATGCAGGGTTTGATCCCAAGACCCTGGGATCATAACCAGAGCTGAAGGCAGACACTTAACAACTTAACAACCCAGACGCCCTAATTTTTACATTTTTGTGTATTCAAAAGAAGAAAAAAATAGTAACTAGAAAAATCAGCTAATTAAACAACCTTTAACAAACTAAACTAGATATTTACGGTGAGGCCCAGTATCTGGTGATACAGATATACAAAATCCTATCTCTAATAGACATTGATAACTGTACAAAATTATTTACAAACCAGCCAGGAAGTATACCTTCATAAAAAGCTGAAATACTAAAAAGCTTGAACCAGTAAATTCATCTATATATTATAATCAACTTCTACTATTTAGAAGCTGAATTACTATATGAGTTACTCTACTTCTACTGGCTTTAAGAGCATTTTAATATTCTTTAGTTGGTGTTTCTCAAGGATTTCAGTGGTTAACGGATCTCTGGAAAGTCCCAAGACTGTTTCACGGGTCCAGGACAGCCAAACTATTTTCACGATACTAACTTGTTATTTGCCAACTATACTGACATTTGCACTTGATGCAAAAGCAGTGGTGGAGAAAATTAAACTGGCAGAGTAGTGGCACCAAACTGTACTAGTGGTCATTGTATTCACTGCCACACACAGACAAATGAAGGAAGGAGGGTAGGAAAAAAGGAAGGATGCATGGAAGGGAAGGAAGGAGGGAGGGAGGGAGGGAAGGAAGGAGGGAAAGAATGAGTCTGTTTCACTTAAGACTGTCTGTGACAGAGAAATAAAGAAGCTCAGCTTTACTAAATCTTGACTCAGATGCGTACTGTTTAATATCGTGTGAGGAAATATGAAGTATTCATAAAGAACTTCTGCACACCCAAGTGGCAATCTCAGAGAAAAGCACCTGCTCACTTGCAAGCTAAACAATGAACTTTTTTTTTTTTTAAGATTTCTGTTCTTATTTATTTGAGATAAGAGAGAGCATGAGCAGGAGGACAGAGGAAGAGGGAGAAGCAGACTCCCAACTGAGCAGGGAACCCAATGTGGGGCTTGATCCCAGAACCCTGGGATCATGACCTAAGCCAAAGGCAGATGCTTAGCCGAATGAGCCACCCAGGCACCCCTAACTATGAACTTTTCAAATATATACAATATTTATTTGAAAAATAACTGACAGACAAGCATAATTATTAAGATTTGGGTATGTAGCTGACATCTTCTGGAAAAGGAGCCAAGGTGGCCTATCAAGAGCAACAACTGACAATACTTGTGGCCAATGATAAAATCCAAGCTTTGAAGTGAGAGAATTTTGGATAATTCGTACTGCCATGATGAACTTCATAGTCTACCAATACTTCAACTCAGCCAATTTTTCCCAAGTGACTTAGGCATGGTGTTACAAATGCATACATGAGTAAAAGATTCCAAGTGCAAGAGGACCAATGGGTTTAATTTAACAAAGTACCAAACTTCACTAATATGGTTTCAAATTCCACCTTGCAACTAATCCTTAAGGAACTACCATTTATGGAGTTTTGGGATAGTATCAAAGAAGAATATCCAGTTATCTGAAAGGCTATTAAAGTCCTCTTCCTTTTTCTAACTATCCAACTATCTGTGAAAGGCTGGATATTCTTCATATACTTCAATCAAAACAACACAAGAAATTGAATGTAGAAGCAAGTATGACATCTGGCTGTCTTCCATTAGACCAGATGTTTAAAGATTAAAAAAACAAAACAAAACATGAAATAATGTTGTTTTTCTCATTTGAATTATTTTTATTTTGGAAAATAATTTTTCATTAAAAATGTTATTTATGTTAACATGTAAGGGGTTCATTACTTGTAATTTTAAATGAAATAATAAATGGTTTTAACCTTCCCTGAATAAAGAAAGGAAAAGAAAGTAAAGTATAAATTAGCCATGTTTGCTACTTTTTAGCAATTTGAATATTTAAGATAAAAATGACTGATAAGGGGCACCTGAGTGGCTCAGTCAGTTAAGTGTCCAATTCTTGATTTTGGATCAGGTCATGATCTCAGGATTGTGAGATAAAGCCCTGAGTCAAGCTCCAAGCTGGACATGGAGACTGCTTAAGACTCTCTCTCCAGGGCACATGGGTGGCTTGGTGGGTTAAGCGGCTCCCTTTAGGTCGGATCATGATCCAAGCGTCCTGGGATCAAGCCCTACGTTGAGCTCCTTGCTCAGTGGGGAGTATGCTTCACCCTCTCCCTCTGCCTGCTACTCTCCCTGCTTGTGCTGTCAAATAAACAAATAAAATCTTTAAAATAAATAAATAAATAAGAGTCTCTCTCTCTCTCTCTCTCTCTCTCTCCCTCTACCCCTCCCCCAACCCCACCCCCTGCTTGCCCTCTCTCTCCCAAAAAAGTATTTTTTTTTTTCCTGGTAAAAATAATGTTTAAATCTTTTTTTCTTTTTTTTAAGATTTTGTTTATTTATCTGACAGAGAGATAGAGAGAGCATGCACAAGCAGGCAGAGCAGCAGGCAAAGCAGGAGGCAGAGGGAGAGGGAGAAGCAGGCCCCGAGCTGAGCAGGGAGCCTGATTTGGGACTCGACCCCAGGACCCTGGGATCAGGACCTGAGCTGAAGGCAGACACTTAACTGAGTAAGCCACCCACACACCCCAATAATATTTAAGTCTTAACTATGACTTTCCCATTTAGGCTCCCAGTTTCCAAGAATACTTAGCTGACTTTTCATTCATTTTTCAATGATTAATAACATTTGCATAATGCAAGTTCTTAAAATATCATATCCAATTTTTAAAGATTCCAAGATCTTCAATTGCTTAGAACTTTTCTAGGCCAATGAACAATGAGGGAAACATTCTTTTTTTTTTTTTTTTTTTTTTAAAGATTTTATGTATTGTCAGAGAGAGAGCACAAGCAGGGAGAACGGCAGGCAGAGGGAGAAGCAGGCTCCTGGCTGAGCAAAAAGCCCAACGTGGGACTCAATTCCAGGACCCTGGGATCATGACCCGAGCCGAAGGCAGACGCTTAACCAGGCATCCCGGAAAATATTCATTATTAAACATAAAAACCACTGGTACACAATGATGCCCCATAATAAAAACCAAAAGCAAAACAAACAAAAAACAAAAAACCTCACAAAACCAACCAACCCATTCATTAACAAATATTTTTGAAAAACAAAACTAAATGACTCGAAGTCCTTTAACTTGAGCTTTGACTAAGGGGCCAGATCAATTCCCAACTATTAGTTCTCTCTCAAAAAGTTCACCTGAGGCCTGGTTAGGTCTCATTAAAATTCAAAGCATAGGCACCTGGATGGCTCAGTGGGTTAAGCCTCTGCCTTCAGCTCAGGTCATGATCTCGGGGTCCTGGGATCTAGCCCCGCATCGGGCTCTCTGCTCGGCGGGGAGCCTGCCTCCCCCCTCTCTGCCTGCCTCTCTGCCTACTTGTGATCCTTGTCTGTCAAATAAATAAATAAAATCTTTAAAAAAAAAAAATTCAAAGCAAAGATTTCTTCCTTGCCTATGTGCCTCATTCTTCAATTTTTTTATCAAGCTATAAACCTACACTTGAGTTTGGTATTAACTCTTTACTATGAACTTGCTGCTAGGCAGAACTGCCAAATCATCAGCATGTGACTGAAGGCTTAAGTAATAAGGGCAACAGAGCATGCAAGAACCAAAATTAAAGAAACTCTCAGAGGCCTAGCCAGAGTAAAGGTATAAAAGAGTCATGCTGAACATGAAGACTGTAACCTCGGTTAACACCGAGGATCTCTGCCAATCGTTTTCACTCTCCCTCCCCAGAACTTATAACAGCTCCTGGCACGCAGCAGGTATACAACAAGCATTTGTTGAATACATGAATCAACTTGGTATTTTCATTAGTATTTATGTCAAGACCCAAAATTAAGATTCCCCCAAAATTAAGTTCACGGACTCAATATATTTACATGACACCCTCTATATTTATAAGCAAATTGTAATTCTCCTTTTGGGATTTTCCATTATCCACTGGGAAATTTTAAAGTAGAACATTACTGACCACATAAAAGTGTAAGAGTTCAATAACTACAAACGTGATTACCTATATCCCCTGCATCTACTTTCTGTCAAACAAATACTACAAATGAAAAAGAAATCTACAAAAGGAGATTAAACTAATAGACACACCAAAACCAAACTAAAACAAACCAAAAAGTACCTTTAACCAATAAGGCCACCAGAACTTCCACAACTTTCGAATAAACATTTGATGTAAGAAGGATGCTGGGAAGAACTGCTAATTCCCTTGCTCAGCTACTCTAATTCCTCTGTATAGCAAGCATTCCTCAGTTTGTAAGTTAAACAAACATGACTGGACTAGTAAAGCACCCATTAAAGGGGAAAAAAGACACACAAAAATTCACAAGCCCAAGTAAAATTTCATGCAAGTAAAATCTGGAATTAGACCACTAACAAGCAAAACCTCTTCTTTTACCTTTAAATGGTATTTACTCAGAACATATACTGGTAACTCTTTAATAAATGTAAAATTTCATTACTCATGGTATTCAAGGTCCTGGAAATACAAGAAATCTCTGATTTACCAATGCTTTTTCTATTCCATGTAGGTCCAAATTCTCGTTTCATTGCTAAACTGTGGTCCTATGCCTGAAGATGTTGTACATGCAATGCCTTCATTTAATTACCCCCTACAGGGGCGCCTGGGTGGCTCAGTCAGTTAAGTGACCAACTCTGGATTTTGGCTCCAGTCATGATCGCGGGGTTATAGGATGGACCCCGTATCAGGCTCTGCACTCAGTAAAGAATCTGCTTGAGATTCTCTGCCTCTCCTTTCCTCCCGCTGCTTTCATACTCTCTCTCTCTCAAATAAATAAATAAAATCTTAAAAGATAATAATAAATATTGCCCTACAGAAATTTTAATCCTTTGTTTATCTTCTTTATACACGAACTCTAAGAGCAATTCAAATATATTCTAGGTAGTGAATAAAGTCAATAAACAGAAGCTCTCAATGTCATATTGTAAGAAAACTTTAAAAGCACAAAGTAGTTATTAAAAGAAGGAAAAGACTTACTTCTTGATACAGTTTGTCATGAGAAGATGGACATCTTGTCTTTCATCTAACAGCAGCATTGCCCCTAAATAGCCAATGCGTTTGTCTGTGAACTTTTGAGAGGCGATAAGCTTGAGGCACTCCAACTGCAAATTTTTTAAAAAAAGAAAAGAAATTAAGGAATTGCTACCACAATCGGGAAAGCAATGTTTTTAACCCAGAGTCAATGGATAGCTGAAATAAACAGATATCAGATCACCTAAGATCTTGAGATATCCTGATGATAGGATACCAAGTTCTGGAATAGATCATCTCGGCAAGGTCCTATGATATAATCTGTGAGGTTTACCTTACTTCCACAGATTGAAGTAAGTAGTTATTAATAAAGTATTATAATAGAATATTAATAAACCCAATTCTTAATTTAATCCCCAGTTGTACTAAATGAGCACCTAACTTATGGGTACATTTATGGTCTTTTCTATTTTGAATATCAAAAAACTCAGTAACTGGAAATACATTAAAGTGCCAAACACTATCTTAAACATCAAGAATATACAACTGAAAAAGAGACAACAACTAACCTTAGTATGATGTGGGAAGTGCTACATTTAGGGCTTGAACCAAGGAGAAGGCAGAATAAAGAGTTTAGCATATGAGGAATAAAAATACAGAGGAAAAAAAAAAGGCTAGAGGAAATTTCAGGAGTGGAATAAACCTAAAATGTTTTATATGACTTTTTCTTTATGTAAGTTATAAAAATTCTCAGAGCTTAAGACTCTTTGTAGTTAAATAGATCGTCTTGATACTTAGCCTTTCTTGAATATCACAGTCACCTTATCACTCCACCTTGATATGCAAAAGGCCAAATATCCCCTCCATAGTGATGGTTTTCGAAGCGTGTACCTAAGTTAGACACTCCAAAACTCCAAGAGTTTTGCAAACTATGTTCCCATTTAGAATCACTATATCCCAAGGAAAGGGGTTCAAATGCAGACCTGTATACAACAGTCTAAAATCATGAGACTATTCCCATCTGAATTTGCCTGTAAGTTCCAAAGTGAAATTGAGGAAAATAAAAGCATTTGCAAATAAAACTGTTTTAAGCTACTTAAAAACTGCTCTCTTGATATATCTGCATTAAAAACACCTCAAGTTAACAGAATGACTATACTATCATGAACAAATCAAAGCCTCCAAAAATAACCAGGATCCAAAAGGGAAACTGAAATGCCTCTGAAACTGACAGATTACATAACAACCCTTCCCTTCCTTCTATGCATTCAATTTAAATTTTAAAAAACAATTTCTGAAATAAAAAAAAATGAATAAAGTCATTTTCACAATCTCAGCAGAAAAATTACTGCTGAGGTGAATGAAAAGAACAGGAGCTAAAATATTATCAGAAAATCTTACTCTTTTTCAAACAGAAGGATTTTTAACCTTCCCATTTAATAATCCTAAAAATGAATATTTAAGCAGTGAAAAAAAACACAGTTCTAAAAGAGTTTCAGGTATGACTGAAATTTTTAATCATCCTTATTGAATCGTGGCTTTAAGAAATACCAGGCATTATGCAAATAAATTATCCAAAAATTTGTTATTAAGATGAACTAATGAAGTCTGTCTTTACTCTTAAGCATTAATATGACTGTGTATTTTTTAGGCCAAGTTTGTTTTTTTTTTTTTTTTAAAGATTTTATTTATTTATTTGACAGACAGAGACCACAAGTAGGCAGGGAGGCAGGCAGAGAGAGAGAGGAGGAAGCAGGCTCCCCATGAGCAGAGAGCCCTATTCGGGGCTCGATCCCAGGACTCTGGGATCATAACCTGAGCTGAAGGCAGAGGCTTTAACCCACTGAGCCACCCAGGCGCCCCTAGGCCAAGTTTTAAGATAGTCACACTAAAAGTCATCAATGACTTGAGAGTACAATTTGTTGCTCTTTGTGACACTTACTTAAAACTTACCTAAAAATGAAGAAAAAAAACTACAACTTAAAGGGACAAACACTAAATTAATTATTTTCAGTATTCCCCATTGGTACAGTGACTTTGCTTTAAGAATATACATTTGTTTTACGAAGATGGCAAATTTTGAGAGGAAAATCCAAGATTAAAGACTGGAAATGGCATTTGAAAAACATCCTCCACTGAGGATTAATTCTCATCATCCTCTACACTTTGGTGTTAGTGGCCAGCAATAGTGCTAAGAAAGCACTGTGTTTCATCTTTAAGAATATTATCAAAGTTTTCAGATATGGAAAAAGAAAAAAGATGGAGGGATGGACAATGGGGTTTTGGGGGAAATACTAGGGGAAGGCATCCATTTTTGAGCAGCAACCACTAAATAGGCAACTCTAGTGTGAGTTACAGAAGAAAAATGGTAAAATCAATTAAATGTTTCTGCCCCTTAGGTAACAACTTCAAATTGAGTTCTACTCCATCTCACTTAAAACTACTTGAAAATCCCACCTGAAACATTGCTAACCTACAAATCTAACATATGCTTTAAGACCACAGAAAACAGTCTAGCTTTTATATTCACACGACAGAGATAAAAAATAACTTTTGATTTTACTCCAAACTCCCTGAGCAAAGTAAAAAAACAAATGACAAATGTGGAAGAAATATTTCCAACCTGTTTCATAGACACGAAATGCTATATAACAGGATCCTACAAACTGATTTTCAAAAAGACCAACTAAAAAAAAACAAATAAAAAGACCAACAACTCAATATAAAAATGGACAAAGAATATGGACAGTTCAAAGAAAACAAAAATAATTCAAACATAGGAAATGGAGTTCAACCTCCTCATAAAACATTTATGCAAACCCAAGTAGGTAAATTTACTTAAAACAAATCACTGTACCATACACTTGAAAAGCGTGAATTATAAGATATGCAAAATAAGTCTCAGTGAAGTTACTGGAAGAGAAAAAGAAATGCAAATGGAAACCATAGTGAGACAGTTTTTTAACCTTTTATATTAGCAAAGTTAGACTGTCATTATGGAGCGAGGACATTAGTGATTGGCTATAAAGTGACACAAGCTGTAGCCAGAAAGACCTGGCCTATCTAAAATACAAATACATATATCCTTTGACTCAATAATTCCACTTTTAGGAACTTACACTACCTTTACATTTCATATACGTGTAAAATAATGGTGATTATTCCATTGTAGTACTGCTTTAAGCAGTAAGACTGGAGGGGCACCTGGCTGGCTTAGTTGATAAGAGCATGTGACTCTTCATCTCAGGGTCCTGAGTTTGAGCTTCACAATGAGTGTGGAGCTTACATAAAATTAAATAAATAAACAGTAAGACTGGAAATAAGTCTCCATTAATAAGGCATCAGTGTAAATAAATTATGATCCATAATTATCATGGAATATGGGGCACCTGAGTGGCTCAGTTGGTTAAGTGTGTGCCTTCGGCTCAGGTCATAGGATCAAGTCCCACACTGGGCTCCTGGTTCTGCAGGGAATCTGGTTTGTCCCTCTCCATCTGCCCCTCCCCCTGTTTGTGCTCACACCTGCACTCTCCCCACCCCCAAATAAATAGAAACTTAAGAAAAAAAAAAGTATCATGGACTACTTTGCTAGATACATTACCATGAGTATGTCAAAGAAGCTGGCAAAAAGAATGAGAATGTCAAAAAAGCTGGAAAAAAGAATGAGGACATGGGCTAATCTTCAAAACAGATTAATAAATAGACACTGCACACATGTATTTTACAGTGGAGTAGGCATTTCCATTGCCTGGAGATGTACTAAGTATCTCTGGAAGGATAGACACAGACAGTTGCCTATAAAAAGGAAACTAAGCAGGGACGCCTCATAGGCTCAGCCAGTTAAGCCTCTGCCTTCTGCTCAGGTCATGATCTTGGGGTCCTGGAATCCAGCCCTGCATCCATCCACCTGGCTCCCTGCTGCGCGGGAAGCCTGCTTTTCCCTCTCCCCTTGCAGCTACCCCTGCTTGTGCTCTCTCGCTCACACTCTCCTTCTCTCTCAAATAAATACATAAAATCTTAAAAACAAAACAAAACAGGAAACTAAGTGTCTGAAAGTGAACAGAAAGCAAGGTTTTCATCATGTATTCTTTTCTATCTTTTAAATTTTGCATTAATGAACTGTCATTATCTATTCCAAAGATAAATAATATTGGACTAGAAAGAAAAAAGTATAAAACTGCAGGATAAAAGGAACTTTTATCTAATTTGTGGTTACAAAAGTTAATATAACAATACAATTAAAAAGGAGGGGGAAAAAACCTAGGGCAATTACTCCCTCTCCCAAATTGAGTAACATGTAATTTCAAAAAATTAACAAAAAAGCATTTGAGTCTTAAAATAGTTTTATGAAAAGACTTTGAGAATTTAAGACCAAAAATCTTATGAAAATACAACTCAGTAAATGGGAACAATCAGCCTTTTTAAAATAACTTAAATTCCTAATGAACGATTATTGTGCACACCTGTATGCTGTAAGAGCTTACAAAGTTATGTCCATTCCTTATCTCTAATGCCCACGATGGCTATGTTTTCTTCTGACGGCAGTTATTTTATATTTTTCACTATCAGCTTCTCCCTTTTCAACAACACTCATAACTGGCTTTTCAACAGCAACCTCCTCGCTCTCCCTGCTATCTTCCATTCCAAAGGTCTGACTGCGATAATTTTTAGCTGTTCACTGATTTTCTTTATATTTACTTTCCAGTTGTTTTTAAGCTGTGATTTTTCTTCAACTTCATAAACCCCTGCTGTGTAAAAACCAATGAGCTAGACGTTCTCATTGATACCCAGTTAGAAGGGCACACAAAAGGAAACCAACATTTGGATATATATTACAAGTATGATACATACATATACATCGTAGGAGATATATATATATATATAATATACACACTGCGACAATTAAGCACAAGCTACTATGCAAACAAGTTAGGAAGGGCACTCATTCAAGGTGAGGAACAGTAAGAAAACATCAGAGAAAGATTCCTATCCCTTTATATAACACACTGGAACAGAAAGACACTATTTGACCTAAAAGCCCTACTCCTGGTTCTAGCTTAAGAGACCTAAGCAAGTTATTTCAACAACCTGGGCTTCAGTCTCCTCTTCACTAAGATAACTGGGTCACATC